ACAGACATTTGCAGATACTGTGCTGACTCTCATTCCTATAATGAGTGTCCAATAGCAAAGCAAAATAAAAATTACCAAAAACCAAATAGCAATCGACGATGCAGCAACTGTTTTGGACAGCACGGGGCGAGGTATCTTGGATATCCTTATCTACAATATTGCCAGGAAATTCTCAAGATAGCAATTACTGAGAGAATACCATGCAAAGAAGCCAGAAGAAAATGCAAAGAATTTGAATACTTCACCCCAGTGGAGAAATCCAGGATGCAGAATCAGATCAGAAAGTTAGAAGAAGAGGTCAAGATATTAAAGGCAAATAAGCTGACTCCAAAGAAAAACATGCCAGAAATTGATGACCAAGCAAGACAGATACTTGCAGAGATGAAAGAGATGAGAGAGATATTGGACTACAATATAAAGACACTTAATGACATAAAAGCAGAAACAATAGCAGCACTACAGGAATTGCAGAAAAAGCAGGATGAAAGCCGTGAAGACAACAAGCAATCCCAAATAGACCAAGATAACAGCGAAAAGGCTATAGACGATAAACAGAAAGAAACATCGATGAAAGAGTCTACTGGCAAGCAGCAAGAACTTGAAGATAGACACAATACAGAAATGAACAGGTTTCCACCAGGAAGCATCAAAACCAAAGAAGACCAAAGAAAACATGCTCAATACGGAAAGAGACTGAAGAAGAGATGAAAGAGACGACAGAGAAGACCAGCATTATTGGCTGTTGTGGTTTTTCACAGCACTTCCTTTTGGGACTACTCAGTGCTCAAGCAGCACCTGCAAGACATGTCCTTTCGTTGTCCAGACTTCTTCGGTCAGTTTCCCTAATGGTTCTTTTCAAATTAGGGAACCTTTTACTTGCGAATCCCGCAACGTAATTTATGCAATTATCTACAAACGATGCAGCAAGGCATACATTGGGGAGACTGGCAGGAAGCTAGCTGATCGTTTCAGGGAACACCTCTCCAATATCGACAAGAAGACACTCAAACCAATCCCTCTTCATTTTAATAGCCCTGACCACAGCGGTAAAGATGACATATCTGTTACAGCATTAAAATCTTGCTCTGGGGATCATACTACCCACCTCGCCTTATCCACAGCCTTTGCGTTCTTAGTCCAAGTGGTATCAATATCCAACATACCTTCATCTAAATAATTCTAATCTTATCACATTTTAAATGTTAATTATTTTATTTTGTTTCATATTATTACTTCATTCTATTTCTTATCAGTATCATTTATGTATCATTAACACTTGCATTTCTTTTATTCCCAGTATTGTGACTATATTTTGTAGCCATCATTTATTTTATTTTATTTCATTTATTCCGCATCACATTTTTTTTAAACGTTGCTCACGTCACCTCTAAGAGATCTACATACCCTCCTCTCCTCGTTGTTACGTTTGTGTAGTTCACTTATGTTTGAAAAAGGCTGCCCGGCTGAAACGTTCCGTTGTGTTGTTTTGTGCACGTTTCAGTGTGAATATAATATTTGAGCCGTCTATGTACAGGAGAGACATCATCAATGCCAAAGGAAGCTGTGAAGCTTTCAGTCTTGTAAAAATGATTTTTCACTGAATAGAGTACATACCTTGGGTGTACCAAGTGGAACAACGAGACAAGAAAAACCTTAAGGGAGCCACTCATTGTTACATCAACCAGAATAGAATGGGACTTGTTAGCCTAGAAACACTTGCAGACATGCTCAAGATGAGATCGGAGCACTTGTAGTCGTATCCGATAAAGATGATCTTTAGATTAACAATGAACAAGAATCGATATCATCACAGCAGTGAGGGCAATCCCATAAGCACTACGTCCCCATCTTCAGCAGCCAACGCAGTTCCAATACCAGTGGTTCCATTAGCAGTCTGATTATATTTCGTCTTGCCTTTCCTTTTAGAAAATATCACGGCCGACTCTATTTAGAAGGCGGTGGAAAATATTTAACTAGTAACAGTGACTATCCCCTGAGAACCCACCCACATAAGATGTTGCTTGTCTAAGCTGTGGGCAAATCTCCTGGTCTGGAACCGAGTCATAGCAGGTTTTTTTTTCCCCTTCACTCGAAAGATTAAAGACGTTTTAGCTGAGAGTTGCCATTTACTAGTATATTCGGCCAGCGGCCGTACTCATGTTCCAAATGAGTTTTAATAGACGTTTTTACCGAGATCCCCTGCCAGCTGGGTTCAAGTCACATTGGTGAGCCATTATCCGTAGCGCAACACGTGGAAGTGTAGCAGGGGTCTTTAAATACGTTGTCTTCTATACCAGGGTCTGGTCTTTTCTGTTTTTGAATACGTGATAGCAATCTTGACTCTAAGCCACAAACAAATGGAAAAGATGGAAACAATACAGAACGAGGCTATGTGCGTTATTGTTGGGTGTACAAGAGATACAGCATGTAGGGTGATGTGCTACCTTCTTGATTTTCCAACCATGGAAGACAGAATATACATTTCCGGAGTTTATATCTACCGCACAGTCATTGCGGACACATAACATCAATTGTATAGTGAAATTAAAAAGATAAAAGGCAGCAGGTTGAAAAAAGATAAATCGTGGATAAGTCAAGCCGAGGACATTGTCGCACGACAGCAGAACACCTCTCTGGTCTTGCACCTGCCCACATCTTGTACCCCTAAATGCAAATTATCTTTTTTGTGTGTGTTAAATATGGACTTTTCCTCTAAAAGTACATAGTCCTTCTTTGATAAGTATGGGTCAAGATTTCTGGATAAGTACTCAGTTCGTTCCTAAATCTATTGGGAGTGGGTTATGTTATGATTTCACTCACAGGTAAGTGATTTCTAAGAGTAGAGAGGCCTTTTTCCATGGCAGTTCGCGGATGGAATTCCTCCCGCTTCTGACTTGGGCATGTTTTAAATTTAAATTGCTATTCGGGGCTTTCAACCTCACCTCATGTCAGTACACAACAGCACCTACCTCGGTACATTACAGCAGTATCTATGTTTGCCTGAAACCAGTCTTTGAGGTGAAGCAACAGGAGGTGACAATTGGTGTTACACTTGACACATGACATTTTGTACCAGTCACTTATCATGTGCAGAAATACAGGGTCCATTTTCTGCTCTTCTGCCCAACTCAACCAGTGTGTTGCAAGTTGCTGTGTTTAATGTTGACATTAGTAATTTATTAAGAGAACCTTTCCCTATTGTTAAACACGAACAATAAGTGCTTCCTGCATATTGAATTGTTAGTACAAAGTACAGGAGAGCACTTCAGTACAAGAACTGATGCCCGACTCCTTGCCCAGCGCTGCTCCTATAAAAATCCGGCCTACGAATCGTGGAGAGGATCACGTCCATCTCGAATAAGTACACTTGGTCCCACCAGGACTGTGGCCACCTTAGACAGTTAGTGACCACTTTTACACACGTCACAACAATATTTTTGCCGTGATGAATTGTGAAGTGTTGTAGGCAGCCCAGGAGTCTTTTTGGAATAGTTCAGCTCTTTATTTCATGGGTTTCATTTGATCTGTAATCTTCATTTATTTTCCTTTGAGAGTCTTGGGCTGTGTTGCACCTATTACATTATTTATTATTATTCTGGATTCAGATTTGTCAGTGTCCAATCTTTTCCAGTTCTGTTACGATAGATTGTTTGTGAATGTGGAGTTGTTTGGTTAGATTAATTGCTGTGTTATATTTTGACTATGATAGGTTTGTTATCCGTTCTGGGGGCTTTTAAGTGGTGAGGAAGTCAGGCCAAGCTGTGCCCAGGAATATTTGTTATTGCAGTGAGAATCATTTGAGTCGCCTCACCCCTGAAGTACGGAGTACCTTCTAGACCAGTGCGAGCCACTATCTAACATTAAATCACTTCAAAGAGTGTCTTTGATTACCAGGGAACCCTAATAAATACATGCGACAGACACGCCATGTGACAGACATTATTTTACTGATATGTTCACTCGGGGACATTGAACCCGGCCAGAAGTGGTTGCAAGTGCCTTCACGGTGCTGTACACCCTTTTCTGTTTGCAATCAACTAGTCAGAAAATGCAGACAAAAGAGTCCGGCTGCTGTGGAAGCAGAAGTTCAAGTCTTGCTTTTTTTTGGGTTGCTCTAGAATGTGATGCTGTCATTTACACAGATGGGTCTGTCATCCGCTATTCTAGGAGCTCGTGGGCTTTTACGGCTCATGTTGGAGGGAGAGTTGTGAATAAAGTTTTTTGAGCTTTTGCCGTAACTACAAGTAGTCTGACTATGGAGGTCATGCTGTGACTAAAGCAGTAATATGGCTAGAGACGCAGACTTTCACTTGGACATGATTTCCCAGTGACTCGATGAGTATGCTCAGGAAGATAAAAGGGTCCGAAGGCAATGGTTGGTGGCTCTACAGCGTTCACGGCTGACAAGGATTAGTCTCACAGAAGCAGCAGCAGTAAAAGTAGTTATAGTAGTAGTGGTAGTAATAGTAATAATAGTAGAAGTAGTATTAGTAGTAGTAGCAGTAGTAGTATGCTAAAAAGAAGAAGGTAACGATAATGCTTGTAGTGGAGGTGGTGGTGATGATAAAGTTAGAAGACTGCTGTTTCAGATATTCACACAGCTTTAAATTAAAACGATTCGGCGATGGATTAAAACAGTAATGAATTGCGTTTAGTTGAGTTAAGAATCGACATCGCAGCACTTGGGGTTTTCCCATACGCGCTCCGTTAACATCCTCAGCAGCCAGCACAAAGTTTCAATACTAATGAGGTAAGTCGTAGTCTGGTTGTATGTTTGTCTTGCCTTTCTCTGACAGCGATGAGGAATAGCCCACATAAGTGGAAGCAGCTATTCGATTATTTTCGTAACTTTAGGCAGATTCCCGAACTCTGCCGAACATGGCGTGTACCCACCGCCCAAGGTCAATAACGTGTGGACAGAGTGACATCCCATTCCTGCAGCAGAAGTAGAGGGCAGGGACATTTTCGTCAAGGAAAGTGATTTTGTTTCCCCTACAGACATGATCCTTGCAACGTTTGTTTCATCCCTGAAGCGGCAGTCGAACTCAGTATGCTTCATTTTTTATTAACAGTTTACTGTTCTGTCATTATTTCTGATTTAACGTCATTCTTGTTCAATGAAAGTTAAGACTCATAATACAGATATGCAATCATAGAGACGAGTGTCGAAACATTGAAACAACATGTTGAACATCCAACCATAACGTTAAAGTCGTTTCGTTATAGTAGTATATGCTGCCGGGAACATGTTATTTTCTCAGCACCATTCACAAGCTGCATTACGCCCGGCCCTGTCTGGAATTCGTGGTACTTGTAACCGTCGGGGACCCCAATAGACCCATACAGTTGGACTGGGTTTATAGGCCCAGTTTCAAGTTTGCCGTCCTAGCTTCACTACTTCACTCACAGTCTGCTTTTGTATGAACTTTGTTTGGTATGGGTCGAAACTGTCGCTCTCCCATGTGACTTTGATAGCTCATTGAGAGTGGTGGATATGCTACAGGACAAAACTTGCTTGCTTTGTATACAACACATTAGTCCATGTTTAGTCCCCTTCTTAAGGAACAGTTTTTTCCAACTTTACACTCCTTTGACCTTCTCCAGTTGCAGTAGATATTTTCAGGCTCTCCTCCGAACGGCATCCTAATATTATGGCGGCCATAAAATATCCTTACGGGGCTCAGGCATATGTAAAATGCGGACTGTCTGCCAAGGAACAAATTGCGGCAAAACTAGGATTACTTGACAATTTCAAGAGAGGCAAAATTACAGATGATAGTACTAGTAGCAGACGATAAAAGCGGCTGTTGACAATTTCGAGACATTACAGACGATGAAAGCGATATGACGGGTAGACCACGCGCTCCGACGCAGATTAGCAATACTGTTCGTCCGATTGAGGATTTAGCAGCGGTAGATTTCAGACCTGCCGACTTGTATCCTCACACTTTTCGGCATATGCAAAACCCAATTAAACTCACCGCCGAGAAAATCCCCTACGCCGTTACGCGCGGCGTGGATGGGGGGCTAAACTAGGTGCCTTGGACTAACGAGTAAATTAATCGGAGGAAGTTGCAGGCGATGCAGTAGCTGCTGCTCGTGAGTCCCAGCCATCTAGTTTAGCCTCTATCCGCGCCGCTATGTGCGGCGCGGGGAATACGGTCGGCGGTAAGGGCACAGTCATAGAAACAGGCCCACAAGTAACATATCGCTGAGACCCTGTTAGAGCATTTGTTTCATTATACGGAGCCAGCATATTAATAGAACTGAGCCCCGTAAGGATATTTTATGGCCGCCATAATATTAGGACGCCGTTCGGAGGAGAGCCCATTTTCATGTACATTCATTAGGATTGAACAGAGAAACAGAATACAGAAGGCCAACAACATAAATTACAAAATAGCACCACTTTTGAGGCATTAAAGTATCAACTAACATGCACACTCACAAAAACAGCTGATAAATATTCTATTCACACCAGATTTGTGCTGTCAGTATCAGACATGGACAGTCCTATAAAAACATTAACGCAGAGGTATAACATAAGAGATGAAATGTATAAGAAATGCAGGAAAAACAAGAACGTACGGTGTAACCAATGAAGAACTAAGAACAATGGTAGGCACAGTACTGGTAAATAATTACATAGAACATCAAAGAATGGTTTAGTCCTCTGGTCAGAATAGAACAAAGTCAGCCTGCTGTTAGAGCCTACTACACGAGAACAGCAGGCTACAGGGCACAAGGCAGACCAAGAAAGAGATGGGTGGAGAGAGTAAAAGAGACACTAAAGAAATGAAGTATGACATTAACACAAGGTAAGCAATAGCAACAGGTGGGGAAAACTACACTTAAGCATACACAGTAGGATAACAGAAGAAGACTGTTTGCGACCTTCTGGTTGATAACTGGGGTTTATGGTGCCCATCCGTGTCTCATAACTGATAATAAGCTAGTTGTATTTCTCTAGGTTAAAAATATCTTGTTGCCTGGGTGTATTTACCTAGGATGAAGAGAATAGTACTAGGTACCTCACCACAACCTATTATTTTATAGTGTAATCCTGTCAAAATCCCAAATGAGTTTCCATTTTGGAGGGGGGGGGGGGGGGGGGGATAGTTTCACTATTTAATATTATCATAAAAAGTGACCAGTTTTTTTCAAAAAAGAAGTGCAGCTGCTTGAGGACGAGGAACCAACAAGTTTGCATACAAGTAAGCCAGATCTTTAAAATGGATGTGCACACACAACAAGATCAAAGTCCAGAAATGGACGAACAACCAGAAGTTTTAACAAAAGGTTTACAGCTGATGGATGATCTGAAGAAGAAGAATAGTTGTGTACATGGTACTCCAAGAAGAGTTGTGTACATGGTACTCCAAGAAGAGTTGTGTACATGGTACTCCAAGAATAGTTGTGTACATGGTACTCCAAGAATAGTTGTGTACATGGTACTCCAAGAAGAGTTGTGTACATGGTACTCCAAGAAGAGTTGTGTACATGGTACTCCAAAAAGAGTTGTGTACATGCTGCTTCAAAAAGAGTTGTGTACATGCTGCTTCAAAAAGAGTTGTGTACATGCTGCTTCAAAAAGAGTTGTGTACATGCTGCTTCAAAAAGAGTTGTTTACATGCTGCTTCAAAAAGAGTTGTACTGCTTGAAGAATTGTGAACTGGTGATGACTTGTTCTGTCTTGGAAGGCAAGTAGTGATCTTAATCTGTCTTGGAAGGCAAGTAGTGATCTTGTTCTGGGAATGCTCTTGAGCTCACCAAGAAGTATGAAGTACTTAAGTACATCGTCTACAATTTTTATGGCAGATACAGGAGTATTTCAAGGAATGACTTTCACTTAATGTCTTAATGTAGACCTTAACTGGCAGTGTGAGACAAGGTACATTTTGGGAAATGAGCTAATGGACATGGAAGACTGCAGTAGAGCGGTTTTCAAGAAGTGAATTCCCTTAATACAATAATAAACTAGGAGGCCAAAGAAAGGAAATGAAAAAAATTCCTAATAGAAAGAATTTAATCTTGCAACCAGAATCTTTATCACATCAGAAAAACTGTAAGTTTAAAATCATATACTTTATACCGCACTGGCATGAGAAAGGTCCTCCACTTTTACAACAAGGATTAGTCAGCGTCTGGTTGTTGTAGAATTTAATGATTTGGTTTTGTTCATTTTTCAGTGGGTTCTTGGTGCTATCCAGGGATGTCACATGTCGACAGCTGCTCAAGCCACACACACAGTTACAGTAAGTAGAGTTTTCAATGTGATGGTTAACCCATACACTACATAATCATTATCTGTCTTCAGTAAGTAGAGTATTGCTTTATTAGGGTGGACTCATACACTACATATCATTGTCTGCCTTCGGCAAGTAGAGTATTGCTTTATGATGGTTACCTCATACACTACCTAATCATTATCAGTCTTGATGAATTATTTTGAGGTGATTGATTTTTTTTCTTCTGCTGGAGGCACACAAATAACCTTGTAGTGACTGCGCTGATCAAACAGCTCTAAATGCTTAGGTTAAAACCCCTGTCATTATTCACCATTAAAGTGGTAAATACAGGCAGTAAAAGTACAGGACCCCTTTTCACGCCTTCAGGTGTATTGGGCATAGACTGGGTGGATGATGTGGTCAACCTTTACTTCCCAGGACTTTACCTGGTACCAGTTTAGGGCTTTAGTCTTTGGGAGCCAAGGTCATTTTTTTTTAAGACTGGTAAATACAAGCAGAATGAATTGTTATAGATCACATTACCACTTTCTTCTTTCTTTTTTTCTTTACATTCACCGGCTGTAAACTCAAGTTATGGTTGTTCATCCACTTCTGGACTGTAGTCCTTTCTGAGAACCTGAGTTTGGTGTGTACATATTTTACAGATCTGACTCACGTATATGCAGATTGTTGGTTCCTTGCCTCTTAGGCAGATGCACTCTGACTTCAAAGGAAGCCTCCAAATAGTAGACTCTTATGACATGCTTTTGGGTAGGCAGGGTTCCCTTACAGTGGGACCCTGGAACCCACACAGGAAACATAAACACTTTAAGTAACTCATTTAATATTTCACATAATGGGCTGTGCAACATTTTATGCAACTGTTTCAGCCTTACAAACTTCACCGTTTAGACAATGGACCAAGCACTCAGATCACCTATACCAGAGAGGAGGCACTTAAATACTATAGGCAGATGCGTACCATCCGAGTCATGGAGACTACAGCCGGCAATTTGTACAAGGCAAAGATTATTAGAGGATTTTGTCACCTTTATTCTGGACAGGTGAGTTTTGAATGCATCCAGGTGGTCATCCAGGCTGTGTACGTTCATTTCTATGGTTTTTAAAATTTTTTAAATAACCCATTACTTAGAGCTGATCAGATAAATACAAAAGAGACCATGAAATATGTTAGTTGCATTTAAAAATAAATACTCGAGTGACAAAAACAGCTGGTGAGCATGAGGTAGATAGTGTTGTAAGAAGAAAAATTATTATGCTGTAAAAAAAAAAACGCAGTTATCTGATGCATTTTCTTGATTTAAACAAAATCAACAACTACTAAAATGAACACAATTTTATCATAATCTTCTCATTCAAAATCTGTGTTATTTATTGTATGAAACTGTCAACATTGCATACAACAATATCTTAGGGTTCAACCAGTCAATTGACAGTTCTTTTACTTCTGGGTCATCGATAGGTATTTCTTACTGAACCTAAAATTACCTGATAAAACCATGAACAGCCAACAGACGGTGTAGTTAATTTGCACTAGATAAGAATACCCAGGTTACAAGAAGGATACACAGCTAACCTCTTAAAATTAAAAACAAAATATTATCTTTGTCTTTCTACTAATAATTTTAAAATCTAATTGTTGCAATTAATTGAATCAATAAATTGATAGTTGGAAAAAAAATTAATCACAAGTAAGGAAGTCTTAAAGTTGTTATCAGAAAGACTTCCTTGATGTGGTTAATCATTTATCTTTGGATACCGGAGACTTTATTCACAAAGACAAATTATTAACCACATCAAGGCAGTGCAGTTGTTTGTTATTTTATGGGGAGAAAGAGTCTACAGGATGCATCTTGGAATCTTGAGGATATTACAGAAAGAAGTCCTTATGTGAGTTCCAGGGCCCAGTTAGGAAGGAGAGGGGTGGAACCACTGGCCTGTAACAAGCATGTCATAGAAAGCAACTAATTAGTGGTTTTTCCTTAAAAATTTCCTTCACAATCTGAGTGCATCTACCTGAAAAGTGAGGAGCTGAGAGAATGCGTGCAAATAAGCCAGGTCTAAAAAACTGATGTTCACTCAAAGTTCAGAAGCATCATATAACTGGAGTTTACAGTCAGAGAATGCAAAGAAGAAGAAACAAAGAAAGAAATCATTGATGGGGAAAATTCAGAATGGATTTATTTACACATTGGCACAGGAAATGTTCCATGGTCAAACATATTGAGAACACACAGAATAGACTGTTGTGTAGGAGTATCATTACATGTACTACCCAACTTGTAATGTGATAAAGAAGATGTTTGTATTTAAACATTCTTTTCTGCTAGTGACATGTTTAATCTCAGATGCATTTATTTACTTCTTAGGAAGCTATTGCTGTTGGTATGGAAGCTTCTATCACCCCAGAAGATTCTATCATTACAGCATACAGAGCTCATGGTTGGACGTATGTCAGAGGAGTGTCTGTTCATAGTGTTTTGGCCGAGTTGACAGGTTTGCTAACATTAACTTCTAGATTTGAAACTTTCTTGGACAACCCGTAATCTGTATGTTTTGAAAGAGACCAGAAAACTTATCACGAACATCAGAAAGAGGTAGTCATCATTTTTTGGCCACACTATGAGGAGAGAAAAACTGTGACAGCTGGAAAGTTTTTTTGTAAAGAGAAATGGGGAAGACATAATAATCACAGCACATTGTCACGAGTCCCCTAGTGGATAGATGCTTTTGTGATGAGCTGGAGTTTTAATCTCAACACTTCACCTCCACAGGAAAAACTGGACTAATATCCTAGCTGTGTTGGTTTCAGACAGAGTCCGGGATATCCAATAAAACATCCATATTTGGCTCACCATGTAAATTCCAGCAGCTGTACTTGGTACCCACTGGAGAAAGAGGAGTTTTAGATGTCTAATTATTTTAATTAATGAATTGTTAGACAAGGCAGGTGACCCCTCCCGACCTCCTCCTGGTAAAGACAGAGCTCCCACCAAATGTAATTCTATCTAACAGTTTAGCTAAATTTGGAGTTTGACAAACTATGTAGTGTAAAACTGTTCTTGTGATGATGATACGTTTCAGACAAAATAGGTAACTTTAGATTCAGGTAAACAGAAAACTCTGACAGCCCTCACTTTGAGGGATTGCTGACCTTTTTCCAGCCTGCCGATCTCCCGTAGACTTACACCAAACATGCATATTCTAATAAAAATGTATCTTATCTCTCCTCTTCATATTCACATTCTCTCCAGTCTAGTCTGAAGGTCTTTTGTCCCACACTGGTGTCCTGTATATCCTGCCTTCCTTCTCATGTTCAGTCATGATATTTGAAGTCCTGTAAGTCTGTTGTGCCTCCTCAGTCAGACCAAAACTGTCTGACATTGCGGTGTCATGAACATGTGGTGCAGGTTATGTGCTGAAAACCCAAAACATTTTATCTGCCTGCTGTCCTGAATATTACATTTCTAGTGACAGTCAATGATATATCCTCATGGTTTTCCATGGGTTGTCAATCGCCTGGGTAGGTAAACACATTTTATTGAGTACATGGTGGGCTATCAAAACCATCACCACATTTATTCATGTGATGCCATGCAGCATGATGTCTCTTTCTGCTAGCTTTAGTTTGTTGAGCTGAGTTAAGAATAGGCATCTCAGTTTTCTGGACATTCTGTATCCCAGTCTTCAGCAACCAGCAGATTCCCAATTCTGATATAACCAGTAGCAGTCTGATTGTATGTCCATCCCTGAATATTGATCATCAACCAGATCCCCTGCTCATTTCTAGCTGCTCAATTCTCTTTTTGGCTATTTGCGCCTTTGCATTGTCACTGTATCCCAAAGGACCTCGCCAGCATTTAGCTTGTCACATGTCAATTTACTGCAAAGTAGTGCAGCACCAGCCAGTCTGCCTATTCATTTTCCAAAACCTTCATACCTGAAGAAAATATCCAGAAGATTCTGACTACCTGGGTCCTCTGAAGTGATACTTTACCAGTCTGCACAGAGTATACCTGTCTCGGACTTTTTCAACATGTTTTATGTGTGAGCACATGTTTAGTATATTAAATATATATCACAGTTGTGTGTTTTATATTTAACAAGTTGATATCTGTATCCTAAGAGTTATGAGAGAAATTTCATAAGACAGTTTCTTTACAAATCTGAACCATTTTCATCCCTGTTATAGCACAGGTTATGATTATTATATTTTCAGGACGCAAGACAGGTTGTGCTCATGGAAAAGGTGGCTCCATGCATATGTATGCCAAAAATTTCTATGGTGGAAATGGCATTGTTGGTGCACAGGTAAGAGGTTGTCTTAGTTGTGGATTTCTTATACTCATTTATCTCCATGTTGTTTTACTTAGTTAGTTTGATGGGATATGATCATTGCACTCCGGACATGTCCATAGTTGTTTTACTTGTTCATTCTTAGTCATTTTGGTTTTTTGGTTTTGTAGAAAAGTTGAGTCACCATAATGCACCTGTGGCAGTATATCAACCCTGATGGAGCCCAGTGCTCTCCAGGTGGTCATTTCCCTGTTAGTGTGTATCCTCACAGATACTGTTAACAGTCTGCACCACAGGGATTTTTACAGAGTGGACAGACATACAAAAAAAAGGGGGGGGGGAGGAGCAAACATTCAGTCCATTGTGTCTGATTAACAGAAATGGAGAGAACTGATTAGATAGCCAGCAGTGACATGTGACTCAGTTATATGCAGTGTTATGGGATTCTGATGATGATGTCGGAAAGTTAACTGCCTTTTTCTTGGCCTACCTATTCATACCCTGGGATAAGTATTTTCTGTCATGAGAGTTACGTACGTTTACTTTTATATTGTGGAGATAGTAGCTCTCACAGGGACACTTGCACGGCTGGCAGAACAGAGAGCATCTCATGCAATGATGGTGTCAGAGTCAGTGAGCTTGTTTCAGAAGATCCAAACCAGCCAGCTCAGACTAGAATGTGTTGACAGCACTCAGAAGTCCTACCTAAAGAAACTACCGTGGCTGTACATACCCGGATATGCTGGGGTGAAAGGAAAAGAAAGAGCCAACAGACTGGCCTTATCTGCAATAGTTAGTGAAGGAAGAAGTATGGACAGGTCATAAGTGCTGAATGCATTGTGTAACAGATGTTGAGAAAAAGGAGTCAGAGATAATGAACTGCCTGTTAGAAGGAGATATTAAACGAGGACAAGCATGCAGAAACCAGTTGCAGTGCAAAGAAATAAGATATTCGAATCAACTCCTACTGAGTATGGTAGGCATGGAATCACTGAGATGGCTGCTGCATCAGAGGACAGCACAAGTGGGTTGGGCTTATGTGCTAAGATGTTGATAGGGATAACATAGATTGCCTAGTTTGTACAGTAATGCACCTGATAAAATATGATCAGCAATAAATTGCAGGTCTTCTTTGTTCAAATTTACAACAGGAAAATATTGCTTTGTCTTTACTTTGTAGTTGTTTTGTTTGTCACCACAAGGTTCCCCTTGGAGCTGGCATAGCCTTGGCACACAAGTACAAGGGAGAAAACAATATATGCATTGCACTGTATGGTGATGGTGCAGCTAATCAGGGGCAGATATTTGAGGCTTACAACATGGCCAAGCTGTGGGATCTGCCTTGCATCTTTGTGTGTGAGAACAATGGATTCGGCATGGGCACCTCCGCAGAGAGGGCATCTGCCTGCACAACCTATTACACTAGAGGGGACTATGTTCCAGGAATTTGGGTGAGAATCAATCTTTAAACAGTTGTGTAAATTAACTGCATTTGTTTCAGGTTGAGACAAACAGATTGGAGAAACATTATCTCAGCTTTACAGAACCAGTTGTGGTAAACAGACATAGAATGTTGCTGTGATTAGCCTTGATCGGCAGAACAACAATAAGAAAAAAAAATGAACTGGACTCTAAAATTACATTATGATTTTAAGAAACTTTTTGTGTAACAAATAAAATATATTTAAAAAAATTTACAGAATGATAACAAGTGATATTTACCTGGTTCCAGAGATTTGTCTAGATTCTAGACACTTATTCCAGGTTTGAAAGAGTTGTTCCTAATTAGTGAGAAGCTTTTTAAATCTAAAGGACCATTTCCAGATTGTAGAGGTCAGATTTAAGTTAGAGTGGGCAGTTATATTTTGGGACCGGTTTGAAATGTAGTAAAAACTGGGTACAGATTTATGAGATTAACTTTGGATTGGGAGACTCATTCTGAATCTGCCAAACACTCACTCTAGATTTGAGAGACTTATTACAGATGTGCCAGTTATTTCAGATATACAAGGCTTATTTTAGATACTTGAGACATTCCAGATTTGAGGGGGATTCCTGATATGCAAGACCTATTCAAGATATAAGAGGCACTCTAGGTTTGAAAAACTAATTTAAGATATACAAGACTCATTCCAGATATGCAAGATACTCCAGATTTGAAAGATTCATTTTGTATATGTGAGACTTATTCCAGATTTGAAAGATTCATTTTGTATATGTGAGACTTATTCCAGATTTGAAAGATTCATTTTGTATATGTGAGACTCATTCCTGATTTGGAAGATTCATTTTGTATATGTGAGACTTGTTCCAGATTTGAAAGATTCATCTCGTGCATGCGAGATTCATTCCAGATTTGAAAGATTAATTTCGTGTATGTGAGACTCATTCCAGGTCTGCGACTAGATGCAGATATAAGGAACTAATATCCTTACAGCTGTTCATGATTTGTAATAAATTGTTCAAAACCTACTGTCTGAATTTCTTTTATTTCTTCTACCACCTCTTGCTTACTTGCTTTGCGAAAACATTGTCGCATTCACCTGGCATCCCTAGTGGGGGAGCTTTAGGTTATATTTGTGACTAGGTTTATGTGCACCATATAAAATGGCTTAGCATTGCTCATCATCAAGTAGCCCTGAAAGTACTCTTGCAGTGTTGATGTGATCAAAATAGACAGAGCCAAATACTGTCCCGACCGACGATGAAGTCGTATACTGGCCAGCCGATGGCGAACCAGTCGCCGATGTCTACCAGTTCAGGGTAGATGATAATGACTAAGTGCAGTAAGCAGAGTACATATCTTTTTTGTACTATTTTGTTTTTGTTTTTTGTCGCCGTCTGTGGCTTAGGCGATATGTACGCGCTTTGTAATGCCAGGGTGCTCGGTGTGATCCCAGCTGGGGACGATTTATCTTGCACTGGTTTTGACAGTGGTACTGAGAACTGACCGCTCAGCAAGCTGTGGCAAACTGCTGAATGACAAATTTGCTTAGAAAAACCACAACAGCAAAAAATTCTGGTGTTGGTTCTGCAACGTCCTGTAAAGGATACACAGCTAACTTGCTTTTACCAAATTTTACAGTTTGATGTCTCCTGTTGAGTATTTTTTTAATGGGTTACATCTGAGATATTGACAATTTGTGTGTGTGTGGTCTTTGTGATGAAGTTTGACTGTTTTGCTTCAGTTTATGAACATTCACTTGTTGGTCTCATGTTATAGGGTGGGTGTTTTCTCTAGAATATGGAAATTGACTGTTTTGTCTCAGTATATGAGGTAGCTGTTTTGTCTCAGATAAAGTGACTTTTATGTCAATAAATGGAAATTGTTTTTGTCATATTGTATGGACATTGACCTCTTGTCTTTGCGTATGAAAGTTGATTGTCTTGTCTTAATATGTGGAGATTGACTGTTTTATGTCAGTAAATTGAGATTGACTTGATTGTTTTATCTCATGATGTGGAATTTTACTCCATTGTTGTGTTTTCACAATAAAACAGGTCGATGGAATGGATGTACTGGCAGTGAAAGAGGCTACACGTTTTGCCAAAGATTACGTTCTCAAGCATGGACCAATCCTCATTGAAGCTGCCACATACAGATATCATGGCCATAGTATGAGTGACCCTGGTACCAGGTAATCATTCTGTAGCTGTGTGTCTATTTAAAAAGTATGTAATGTGCTGTTAATTCCCTCTGGATTATAGTTGAGTAGTGGACCCCAGGTCGGCTCTGTGGCTAAGTCGATGCAAACGCTTCGTAATGCCAGGTTAGACCCTAGCTGCGGCCATGCACCTTGCGTTGGTTTTGACAGTGGTATCAAGAAAGCTGGCCGTCCAGAAAGCAATGGCAAACTACTGGACATAAATTTGCCTAGAAAAACCACACAACAGCCAGGTGCTGTTGGGGTTGGTTCTGCAACGTTCTGTAAAGGATGCGCAACTAACCTAGTGGACCCCAGAGATGTGGATATCTCAGCAAGAGGTGGATAGATCTTAGGGTAGTAGAATTCTAGGGATATCAGGGTAGTTGAATCGTATAGATGTGGTGATCTCAAAGTGGAGGATCCCAGAGATATGGCAGTCATAGATTAGTGGACTCCCAGAGATGTGGGGACCTTGGAGTTGCAGACTCCCAGAGATGTGGAAATGCACTGAAATGGGAAACAGCTGGACTGAAGGCATCCAGTGAAACTCTAAACACAAACACCGATAATGAGGCTTTCTGTTGGAGTTCATCATCAGTGAACACACATGATTGTTTACTGCTATTTCAGGTGATGATTTTTTTTTTTGCTTTTTTTATTCATTTTGAATTAAGAATCGACTGCACAGCGGTCGGTACGCTCCCATAAGTGCTCAGTCCCCATCTTCAGCAGCAAGCAAAGAGTTCCAGTTCTGATGGAAATAGTATCCGTCTGATTGTATATCTGTTTCATCCTTTCCCAGAATGTTGAGCGTCGGTCAAATCTCCTTGCAACTCCTCGCACCGTTATCATCTACCTGCGCCTCGGCACTGCTCACTCACTCCCAAAGGGCCCTCAAAATATATAACTTGTCATACATCAATTCACCACTAGGTAGTGCAGAGCCAGCCAGTCTATCTGCCTGCTCATTTCTCAACAAACCGGCGTATTCTTTATTCACGTGGTTCTTATATTATGTGTTGATATTCTGCTTCCCAGCTTCATTATAGAGGTGTTTAATGTCATTTAGCCATTTCATAATGTGTATGGTAAACCATCTTGAGAATCACCAGACAGGTAAATGGGAAACAAATGGATTGAAGAACTGAGGTGTCCAAGAGAAACCCCCAGATGGATATTTGTAAGAGAGGCCAAAGGTGGTGGACTAGATTCCAGTCATGATATTTGAAAGGATCAATAAGGATAGAATGGAAGGAAAGAAGAGACAGCTAGTCCTGTGTGATGGATAAATGGCACAACCAGGATGATAATATCATATTGCTATTTCTACTTTCATATTTACAATTTGTCGCTCATCATTACCTAGCTACATTTTTATCTCAACACAGAATGCTAGAAGTATTCAGCTGCTATATCTTTCATTATTGTTCTTCCTAAACAACTTTTAGAAATAAAATGGCCCAAGCGTTTCAGGTTCCATGTCATGTTGCTGCAAATGGGAGTTTCCTTTGATGTTCAGACTGAGATGCCTATGAGCTATACCATGCTGGTCAAGACATATTTAAATATCTGTGATCACCCTAAAAATGGGTTCCTTCTGCAAGAGCACCTAGCCAATGTAGATAAGATTGTTTCCTTGGAAGCCGGAGTGCATCTGCCTGAGAGGCAAGAAGCCAGCAGTTTGCACACCATAAGCCAGATCTGGACAATGGATTTACATGCAACACACAAGTCCTTGCTACAGATGATCAATCAGGACTTTATGTCAGAGTTCACCATTGCTGAACACACGAGATAAAGAACAATTCAGATCTTCTAAACTGTTGCTATCTGTTTACCTCATGATCCACGATATTCTGAGAATTTGTAACATTTAGGTTCAAGATTCTGTTGTAATCTTTATGAAATAAAGATCCATATTTGTTACAGCCACAAGTACACACATCTCAAGCTTGTCTGTTACAAATATTGCTGCAGTTGGTGTGTCATGTTACAAAAACATAGCCCTCCCCATTTTCACATCTTTCATTGTTTTACCAAGTTTGATTCTGATAGATGATACTTCTTGTGTTTCAGCTACCGTTTGATTCTGATAGATGATACTTCTTGTGTTTCAGCTACCGTTTGATTCTGATAGATGATACTTCTTGTGTTTCAGCTACCGTTTGATTCTGATAGATGATACTTCTTGTGTTTCAGCTACCGTTTGATTCTGATAGATGATACTTCTTGTGTTTCAGCTACCGTTTGATTCTGATAGATGATACTTCTTGTGTTTCAGCTACCGTTTGATTCTGATAGATGATACTTCTTGTGTTTCAGCTACCGTTTGATTCTGATAGATGATACTTCTTGTGTTTCAGCTACCGTTTGATTCTGATAGATGATACTTCTTGTGTTTCAGCTACCGTTTGATTCTGATAGATGATACTTCTTGTGTTTCAGCTACCGTTTGATTCTGATAGATGATACTTCTTGTGTTTCAGCTACCGTTTGATTCTGATAGATGATACTTCTTGTGTTTCAGCTACCGTTTGATTCTGATAGATGATACTTCTTGTGTTTCAGCTACCGTTTGATTCTGATAGATGATACTTCTTGTGTTTCAGCTACCGTACACGTGAAGAAATTCAGGAGGTTCGACAGAAGAGAGATCCTATAGGAAAATTCACTGATGTGATTGTAAATAGTAATCTTGTTACTAAGGAGGAGATTAAGGTATCGTCACATTCCTATAATTCTTAGAGCCATAAATCATCAGTCATAATCATCATCATACTGTTGTACAATTTATACCACACCTTTGGCCCTCTCTTATCATTGTTTGTTTTAGAGTTTCTCTTGGACGTTCTCATGTTTTCTGTCGACCTGTTTGCCATTTTAGTGCATTTCCAGTCTGGGGATTCTCTGCTAGCATTCTCACATCTCTGGGAGTCTGCTAACTCAGAGCCCACATCTTTGGCTGGGGATTCTCTGCTAGCATTTCCACATCTCTGATAGTCTGCTAACTCAGAGCCCACATCTTTGGCTGGGGATTCTCTGCTAGCATTCCCACATCTCTGATAGTCTGCTAACTCAGATGCCCACATCTTTAGCTGGGGATTTTCTGCTAGCATTCCCACATCTCTGGGAGTCTGCTACTTTCAGATCCCCACATCTTTAGCTGGGGATTTTCTGCTAGCATTACCACATCTCTGGGAGTCTGCTACTTTCAGATCCCCACATCTTTGGCTGGGGATTCTCTGCTAGCCTTCCCACATCTCTGATAGTCTGCTAACTCAGATGCCCACATCTTTGATTGGGGATTCTCTGCTAGCATTCCCTCATTCCTGGGAGTCTGCTACTCTCAGATCCCATATTTGGGGGTCCACTGATCTAATATTCTCACATCTCTAGGCGACCACCACTCTGATATCCCCACATCTCTAGGGTCCTCTGCTTTGAGATCGCCACATTTAGGATTCGACTGCCCTGACATCCCTTCAGCTTTAAAATTCAACTAGTCTGACATCCTCTGAATTCTACCACCCCAAGTTCCTTCCATGTCTTGCAGAGATATCTTTATAACTGGGGGTGCACAGCTGTTGAGATCTTCTGCCAGTCAGGCACAGATCTAATGTGGTCATACTGTGTTTCAACCAGTATCTCAAAAACTTCTGTACGGATCAACACAAATATTTGCATGTGGCTTTAGATTTCTCATGTTCTTATGATATATAATTTACATTTGCATAGGTGCTGCTGTTGTCTTAAAGTGGCAAATTTCTTTAATCTTTGATTAATAATTTGTATACCCCTAAAAAGAAAAACAGTAAATGACACACACCTGGAGATTTTTTAGAAATCATTTAACATATGCAGCTATGTGTTTTTGATAGCCTATCCAGATACAATAAAAAAAAATCCACAACTCCTAGAAGACTAATGCTGGAGATGATCACCTGAGAGTGGGACGCCTATGAAACGCGTGTAGTTTGATGTTTTAAAAAGTTCCCATTACTTAAGCCCACTCCCGTAACTGTAGGCATACTGATTGTTTGCTTTGAATTGGTGTCTGTTTTTCCAAATACTGTGAACAAGGCAAAACGAAAACTACAATAAAAAATACATTCTTACAAGGACATGATCATTAACAGGTTGCATGCCAAATTTCAACAACTAATACTGAATGGTTACTGAGTTACAGATTTTAAAAGTTGGCCATGACTTCTGGAATGGACTGTGCATAAGTTCTGTCAATCAGCAGAGCCAGCTGGTGCCCACATTGTGGTGCATGGTACCCCTCTGTATTCAACACTGCAGTCTGTATGCAACATAACAGTCTGTATGCAACACTGCAGTCTGTATTCAACACTGCAGTTTGTATTCATAAAAGAAAATTAGTAACCATGGAAATGAGATGTCTGAGAAGGGCTGTGGGAGTGACCATAAGAGATAAGATCAGGAATGAGATCATAAGAGAAAAAGTCGGCACAGAACCAATTCTAAATTACATACGAAGACAGCAAGTGAAATGGTTTGCCCACTTAGAGAGAAGGCCTTGTGACACCATACCATACAAAGCATTCATGGAAAGAGAAGAAGGACGTAGAGCACGAGGTAGACCAAGAACAAGATGGAAGGATAACATCAGAGAAACTCTACAACAGCACGATGTGCCTATGGTCGAGGCGGCCAGAAGAGCTAGAGACAGAACCTTATATCTCCTTCGACACCCACAGCGGTAAAAGAGGAAGTGAAGAAGAAGAAGAAGCTTGTATTCAACACTGCAGTCTGTATTCAGCACAACAGTCTGTATGCAACACTGCAGTCTGTATTCAACACTGCAGTCTGTATTCAACACTGCAGTCTGTATTCAACACAGCAGTCTGTATTCAACACAGCAGTGTGTATTCAACACTGCAGTCTGTATTCAACACAGCAGTCTGTATTCAACACAGCAGTCTGTATTCAACACAGCTGTCTTTCCTTCTCATGCTTGCAATCAAATTTTGCCACACTTACAGTTTCACCTTTAAAAAAAATGTTATAAATCTATTATTTTTTTTAAATTGTAAAATTTCTGCTATTTACCTATGGTTTTCTTCAACTTGGTGTAGGGCCATTTTATAATATTTTGCATAGGGTCATGAAATATACATGGTCAGCCGATCAAGCTTAACACCTTTGTGTTACCAGGGCTGATATTAAAAGTAAAACTAACTTGAACATGTTGTAATAAAAGGATTGCTGGCACCCTCATCCAATACTCGCACCGGCGAGGATCCTGAAATATTTTGAGTAGATTTTAAACTCAAAATTTTGCCCAGGCAGCGCTGTTAGGCTACTCGCGTCAGGTCTTACTACCCGGAAACCAGGGAGATTACTTGAAGTCCAATCGAAAAAATCCCAGCTCTCACCGGGATTTGAAGCCGGGACCTCCAACACTCGGGGCTGTGCACAACCGTATGAAAAAAAAAAAAAAAAAAAGAAAAATCACACTATGAAGTTTTGTTTAAAAAATAATTTTACTTATCGGTCAAAATTATAGATCACTTGTATTTTATTTTCTTGTTTAGAAAATCGAAGATGAGATCAAGAAAGAAGTTGGTGATGCCGCGGAGCTGTCTAAATCTGACCCAGAGCTTCCAGCAGAAGCGCTGTACACCCACGTGTACTCAAATCCACCCCCAGGATATAAAATACGTGGTTGTGATGACACCATCTCAGTGTTAGCAAAATAGAGAGGCCAGATAGTAATCTATAATGTTTTGAGATTAAATAGAACAGGAATGACAGGAATGATATTGTGTCTTTGTCCAGCACATTTTATGTTGGCTGTCATGACTTTTTATAATGTAAATTAACTTTTGTGCAGTCTAATTGAATGTTAACCTTTGTGTTCCTGTTATTTAGAGATTATTTCTGCAGTTTGTTGGTATTGTTATCTAATTGCTAGTGTTCAGATTAACCTTTTGTTTCTTCAGTGGTCTTTTGTCCGTGATCTCCTCTGGAAGTCTGTTATCTGTAGACCCTTTTAATTGCTTATCTTCATGGACTTCCCCTTAACGTCATCTACTGTCAGAGGGATGAAAAGTCTTAAATACATACGGAAAGTGTTATCAACCTTGTATATCCCTGTTGGCATTGTGGTCAGCCTTTCATATCCTTGTTGACACTATATGCCCATACACCTGAAAGCATGGAAAGGGGTCCTTTGATTTTTTTTCACTTACACATATATAAGATTCTAACCTCTAAGCAGCAGCATCAGCGATGTCACATTAGCTGAAAGTTGTAATGTTATGACATCGTGTTTAATAAATTTACTCCCTACCGCATTTGTTTTTGTCATCATGCTTGATTAGCAGTCAGATGGGCAGCGTAACAAAATCCCGCATTCTGGTGGGCTATGAGTGTATAAAGGTTGGGAGACACTGGTATAGTGCAGCCAATGTACCACCTACAACAGATCACTGTCAGTGGTGTGCAACTGTTTGTACGCATGTGAATGGCGACATCAACAGATAAAATAAATAAAGACTACATAATTTAAAACCTGATGTAAACCTAGCTATACATAGACATTGTTACAGTCACTGCAGCATGTATTAGGTACAAACCTTACTTTTCACATCTGTAAGTTTTCTGTCAGTAGGTGAACACTATCATCCAGTGTACAGGTAATGATTGCTGCCTTGTTATGTAAGCTTACGAGAAGTGTCCTACATTGAGCCCTTTCATGCGAAATTTTCAGGTCAGACACCTATTTTAGGCTAGGTTGAACTTGGAGCCCATGTCAGGGAAATATTTCCCTTGCTTGAAAACATGGCCAGAAGGCAAGCAACCCATGATGTGACTGGTTATGTTAATTGTGGTCCGATGTTAGTAGATTCCCATAATTCATCTAAGTTTATTCATCGTTTATAGTGAGTTGAGTTGATTCAAGAACTGACATTACAGCACTGGGAGCATTCCATTAAGCGCTCTGTTCCCATCTTCAGCAGCCAGTGCAGAGTTCTGATACTAATGGTGCCAGTAGCAAACCTTAATAGTGAGAGGTGCACAATACTGCGATTTATGATCCGCCTTCTAGCCTAGTATTGCAGACTTCACGATCTCTTCGGAGGGAGTGTGAGCTTATCTCTTCACCTTTACCTCATTCAGTTTCCTGCTGAGTGTTAAGACCTGCAGCCTTCCAGCAGATTGCTGAGGAGAACAGCATTTACCATGTGAGCCATGTCAGGTAGGTCTGAGCAATAAAAGCTGACAGACATTAAGTCTTGTATTGCACATTATTGCGTCATTGGGACCCCCAGATTCAAAGTTGCACGGAACTAAAGAGGAACATCAAATAATTGTCAAGTTTTCTCACACACTTGTTTGTTTGTGTAAATCAGGGTAGTCATCACAAAAAAGAAAACAGTAAGCTTCTATGGCTAGTGGGACAGGAAGACAGGTTTAAAAAAAATATCTGAGTCTGGTTGTAACAGAATAATGGTTGAATAAATTGTTTTGGTAGTAGAAGTAATTGTGATACTTTACGTGTGCATGTGATTCATTGTTATACATAAAACAATATCAAGACATTATAAGATTAATCTGAAAGTAGAAGAAAAGTGGCTCGTTAAAGAGAATCTTGTCTCGGAAGTGAAATACTTTAGCTATATCTGAACATCACCTGGAAGAAACATTTATGCAGGGCATCATACAAAAGAAAGAGAGGCAGGAGCCGACCAACACAAACCATAAGAGGTACCTTGAGTGGGAAAGTACATGAGGGGGAGCTGGCGAGGGACTGAGTTTATTTCAGGCTGGCTGTGATGGGAGCGATGTTCTCTATAGAACCTGTTACACAATAGTAAAAATGGTTGTACTACATAAACAGAATAGTGGTAGTAGAAGTAGCTGTAATACTCCATTTGTATGACTCATCGTAATGTATTGACATGACACTTAAGTGCATAACAGAATAGTGGTTGAAGAAGTAATTGTAATACTCTTTCTGTATGACTTATGTATTGACATGACACTAAAGTGTATAAACAGAATGGTGGTCGAAGAAGTAATTGTAATACTCTTTATGTGTGACTCTCTGTATAGACATGATGCTAAAGTGCATAAACAGAATAGTGGTAGTGGATGTAGTTGTAATACTTTTGTTGTCTGTGACTGACTGTTCTGTATAACAGATATCATGACTTTAAAATGATTATACAGCATAAACAGCAAGAAATCTTTTGTTTTGTTTTCGAGAGTGCTTTTTAATGCTGCTATAATGATTAACTGTAACCAGATCATATAGGTCAAGTAAGAACGCTTTTCACATCAGGACGAAGAAGAAATTTCAATAGGCTAAAAACCACTGTTTTTTTTTTTTAAACATCAAGCTGGCCGCCTTTACTTGACAGGACATTGCCTGGTACACATTTTAGGTTGGACAACCTAGCAGCCATAAACGAACCTACCCACACCAGACGACAGGTTATCTCATAACCATTTCATGGAGCCCCAATATGATTATGCTATACGGTTGGACAGGGTTCCCAGGATTTGTAGGGGTTTGATTCTAAAGAATGCAATCCTGGGGAAAAACTTAAACAAAATAATGAAACTCACTAGACCATTGTTGCTCCCATGTAGATAGGGTAAAACTTTGAAAATGTAAAAAGTAAGATTTATTCCACATCAGTAGCATTTCTGGCATACTAAATTAGACCCACATTTGTACAGACGAGCTGGAACTTGTTGGGCGATGTCAGCTTCACAGCCGCGCAAGAAACAGTATTGTGTATCTTCTTCTTTACTGCACTCCAACTTCGAAGGAAGTATGTTGTATGAAAGTCCTCTGATAAAGTGGTCTATGGGGAATTAAAACAGAACTGTTTGCAATTGTTGAGCCTATCAGGTGAAATGTGAACAAGGTTCGATTTCTCATCATCTTTCCTGGCAGTTCTGAAAAACTGGTACACATTTTAGGTTAATAGTATATGAATGAGGATACAGTTTATAGAAAATGAGGCAGGGGCAGACCTCAGTGAAGGTGTTCACAAGACACTGAAGATGCTTTAGCTATCTTCTTCTTCGTCGCGTTCAACAGCTGTTTACTCTGGCGGAAAGTTCTGGTTGCTCGTCCACTACTGAACTGCAGTCCTGTTCCAGAACCTGAGTGTTGCATGTGCATCAGTTTTACAGATCTCATTCTTTTGAATACAGACTGTTGGTTCCTTGCCTCTCCGGCAGATGCACTCTGACTTCAAAGGAAGAACCCCAATTAGTCGACTCTTACGACATGCTTTTGGGGAGGCAGTGGGTCTATTCTTGTTTTCCAGACAATGGGGCCCCGGAACCCACACAGGGGTGCTTTGGCTATGAAAGCACACAGAGCTGGACAATTTACTAGAGAAAGTGAGACTTTCAGGCGTGCTGTGACATCTTATACAAAGCATATTCTTGTCCACCTTATGTGGGATCTTAACACAAAGATATCACATCTGGTTTGTAAATCACATAACAGTGTGCCAAACGGGCTTTTAATTCTTTCAGAACAAGCTAGTAATTTCTTTAACTCTATTCATCTATCGGCGTAATGCTGACCACATGACCCGAGTGCTGATAGTCTGTAAAAATATGGGCGCTCTTCCCATATGCCCGATAGGCCTAAAGGCGTGGAAAGGGATTTTTACTTTTACTTTACACTTTTACTATTCATCTATAGATTCTAAATTAAGGTGGCTGCTATTAAAGTCGGGGAGCCGTGGTAATATAGTTCCTAGAGGCTCACATGCTGGCCTGAAGATTGATGGTTGGAATCCACATCGAGGTAGATATTTACTTATCACAGGTTGACAGCCTAAAAAGGTACCAGATAATGTCCTGGGAAGTAAAGGCGCCCAGCATGATGCTGACCACATCACCCACAGTGCAACGGGTCAATACAGTTATGAGCATCATTAGCTTGTTGTGCCACTAGCATGAAAATGATCCTTGACTTTTGTAAAAACACCACTAGTGTGAAAAGGTTTCTTGACTTTTATAAAAAAAAAAACAATCAAAATCATCGTAAGTTTCAACAACACTTTGGGATAGTGTAAATCAAATGTGTCAGCTAACCAAACACGTGCAGTGGCTTGTGATCTACTAGAGCACAACTGAGGGAAATAAAAGAGCAGACTACTTATAAAAACTTGGAATTCATGAAAGCAGCCAGATACAGGAAACACTTTTAAGGAAACAAATCTCAGATCAAGGTATTATCATCATCATCAAGTGCCTTGCTGACTGGGCGATCATGCCTCTTCACAATCTGCCATCCGCAGATGTGTGTATCAGTTCGTGTGTTGACACCCATCTATGCCATAACAAAAGGCTGTCAAGAATCTTCTCAGGCTGACTTCCTCTGTCTTTCTTTCCACAAATCTTTCCATTGGTTACATGTTCCATTTTCCCTCTTTTCTTACATGACCCAAAATATTATTAATGTCTCTTTCTGATGTTTGTGATAAGTTGTCTACGAGCACCTATCTCTTTCAGAACATCCGAGTTACTCCTCTTAGCTGTCCAAGGAATTCTAAAGATTATTCTGTAAAACCACATCTTCAAGGCCTCAAGATATTATTCGGCCTGTTTATTAATTCAGAACAAGGCAGCCATTAAAAACCACTGAAACACTTCCTATCCAGGGTACTTCTTGTCCACTGGCTGTAAACTCCAGCAGAAAGTCCTGGTTGTTGTCCACCTCTGGACTTAAGTCTTGTTTCAGTACTTGAGTTTTGTGTGCACATGCGTTGTACAGATCTGGCTTATTTGTTAAGTAGACTGTTGGTTTATTACCTATCTGGTAGATGTATTCAGACTTCAAAAGAAACTCCTAATTAGTTGACTCATAGGACATGCTTGTAAATGAGGCAGCGGGGGAATATTCTTGTTTTCACCCACAACAGGACCCTGGAACCCACACAAGGAATCCAGAACACAATCCTGAAGATCCAATCAACTTCCTCACATAAAAGAAACAGATAATTTGTATTTAGATTGTGTACTGGACACAACAGACTCTGCAGCTTTATGTTCAAGAAATTCTAGTTTGGGGGTAGCAAACTTTCCCCCATGTGGACAGGTATCAAAGAATACTTAATGTGTGCTACAGACAAGCTCTCTACATGCAGCAGAGAGAATCCAGGTTTGACATTCCAATGGAAACCAAGCTGTATGAAACAGTGAAAGACATGCATCGAACCACAGACTTCATAGAGACCAGTGCTCTTCTCCTCGGAAAAAAACTGACAGGGAGAACAAAAAAGAAGAGGCAGAGTTGATGTAACAACTAGTGATGCTAGAAGAGAAGAACAATTTACTATATTTGTGCTAACCCATAAATGTACGATGCATCGCACCATACAAGAAAGAGTTATGGGCAAATGAAGAGGTTGCTTCTGAGTATGATCCGGAGGGTTCAGGCAGGTTCAGTGCGAAGACAATGGCTTGAATCATTACAAAAGTCCACTGTGCATGGAGTCACCTTTATTTTTGTTCCAGGCTACGCAGGCGTCGATAGAAATGAAAGAGCTGACAGGTTGGCTGGATCCGCTATCACTACCGACGGTCAGCCTATGGATCATGCTGATATTATCAATGCCCTCAGAGAAATGGGAAGGATAGAGGATTTTGGTGGCAGTGAATCCACATCACTCGCCAGAATGGCAGACTTGGAAATTAAGATCGACATAGCAAAAAACGAGACGCACACCAGACACGCTAGAAGACTTGTTTATCAACATAGAACTGGTACTATTAGCCATCGGACGTTGGGGTTCATACTGAGGGGAAGAGCTGAGCACCTATGGACATGTCCGGAGTGCAATGATGATAACTCAACTAGCTAAAAAAAGCAATAAAATATAAAGCAACAATTAAAAGAAAAATAAGCCAAAGCAGTTTGTTTTATTCAAACCAGTTTTCTGGGTAACATGCTGCAGTTTAGCCATTTATCTGTGTTTGATGGCTAGATCAGCCATATTTCGCAAGGCTAAAGGCCAGCAGCCCTCTTACATCTGAAAGAACAGACTCCAGTATGCCAGGGAATACACCCACACAAGGCCAGTTTTGAGTCTGTTCCTGTCTGGGTTACGGCGGCAGGAAAGAATGTGATTACCTTCCCCTGTTGTATTCAGAAAGATGTGCCCTTTATACTGTTGCCAAAGGTAGCGCTGTACTCGACCTGCACACCCAGGAGGGAGGTCAGCTGCAAAAAGAGGTGAAAATGCCACTTAAGTTTCTCATTTTACATATATATATATATATATATATCTATATATATATATATATATATATATATATAGATAGATAGATAAAGTGAATATCATTACCCATAAGTGTCTTATCAAGAACATATAAATGCCTCAACAAGAACATCATTACCCAGACATATGTCCCAACTACGGGGAAAGTCAATAAGTAAGTAACAAATTGTTGTTTTAATAAAAAATTAATGACGATAACAACCTGAAAACCATTTATTTTTACACATACACCGTCCCTTTATTTTTAACATAATTTACATTGATGTACCTGTCCCATCGTTTTATCAATCCTCCCAAACCTGCTGCACAGAACTGCGTGCTCTGTTTTCCAAACCACATTTTCACTTCACATTCAACTTCTGCGTCATCTGCAAAATGTCTCCCACCAAGATGAGTTTTCAGTGGAAATGGTGGAAATCGCTAGGGGCTAAGTCGGGGCTGTAACGTGTATGTTCCAGAAGTTGCAATATTAGATGGTTAATATTCTCCTGAGTTAACTGCACCGTACGTGGTCTGGCATTGTCATGAAGGAGCAGTACTCCTCTAGTCAGCATGCCTGAATGTTTTCTTTGATTTGCATCATGAAGTATCAACGGAACTTTACAGTATGAATAAGCATTTACATTGCCACCGTTTAAAAAAAAAAATTTGTTAGAAACCTCCTTGACAACCCCAGAACACTGTCAGCATAACCTTTCCTGCGGATGGCGTAACCTTGAATATCTGAACATAAGTCGAAGAAGAATGTTTCCACTGCATTGAAGTACGCTTTGATTTGGGCTGGTAGTGATGCACCTATGATTCGTCCCCAGTAATAATCCTGTTTAGCATGTCTTCCCCTTCATCTGCGTATTGACAGAGATTATACAAGGTCAGGCCTAATCGGTTAATTTTATGTTTGTCCGTCAATCTTCGGCTACCCACCTTGAGCATATTTTCTAAAAATGTCAGTCGATCATGCATTATGTTGTATGCTGGACCATATGAGCACCCCATTGCAGCTGCTACAGAGTCAACCGTTACTCTCCTGTCACCTCCTTCACCCGCTGCACAGATGCGTTTGTTGCAATCTCAACAGGACGACCAAATTGGACTTAAGCATCCTTGAGAAAAAAAAAATTATGTTATCTAGCTATGAACTGCTTTATGGGATTAACACTTGTCAGCATAAACAGGAAGCATTTCCTTAGGATTGTTTTATGTAGGCAGCCCCTAGGCCCCCCCCCCCCCCCCCCCCCAAAAAAAAAGGCACAACAGCACATTGTTCTTTGAGGGTAAACTCTGTAAGTACAGTCACCATTTTGTTTCTGCATTGTGCGTGCAACACATAGCACCACCTAACGAATGGAGACACAACTTTCAATGCTGCTGTCACCAACTTAATTTTCCTGCCACCCCATAAACATTTCTGACTTACTGATTGACTTTCCCTCATAGAACACTGTTACCTAGACACATGTCCCAACAAGAACACCATTATCCAGACACATGTCCTTAAAAACCCTGTAAATATATCAACAAGAACACAATTACCCATCTAAGCACCCCAACAAGAACACAATTACCCATCTAAGCACCCCAACAAGAACTATTACCCATCTAAGCACCCCAACAAGAACACAATTACCCATCTAAGCACCCCAACAAGAACACAATTACCCATCTAAGCACCCCAACAAGAACACAATTACCCATCTTAGCACCCCAACAAGAACACAATTATCCATCTAAGCACCCCAACAAGAACTATTACCCATCAAAGCACCCCAACAAGAACTATTACCCATCTAAGCACCCCAACAAAAACACAATTACCCATCTAAGCACCCCAACAAGAACACAATTACCCATCTTAGCACCCCAACAAGAACACAATTATCCATCTAAGCACCCCAACAAGAACACAATTATCCATTTATGCACCCCAACAAGAACACAATTACCCATCTAAGCACCACAACAAGAACAATATTACCCATCTAAACACCCTAACAAGAAAACCATTGCCCAGATAAACGTACCAACAAGAAATCCATTTTCCAGCACATGTCACAATGAGAAATCCATTATCCAGCACATGTCCCAACAAGAAAACCATTGCCTAGATAAATGTACCAACAAGAAATACATTTTCCAGCACATGTCCCAACAAGAAAACCATTATCCAGCACAAGTCCCAACAAGAAAACCATTGCCCAGATAAATGTACCAACAAGAAATCCATTTTCCAGCACATGTCCCAACAAGAAAACCATTATCCAGCACAAGTCCCAACAAGAAAACCATTACCTAGATAAATGTACCAACAAGAAAACCATTATCCAGCACAAGTCCCAACAAGAAAACCATTATCCAGCACAAGTCCCAACAAGAAAACCATTACCCAGCACATGTCCCAAAAAGATCTATAAATATCTCAACAAGAACACCACCATTACATACAATAACGGCCACATCAAGCAGCACATGCAGACTACCTGTTTAAATTTGCCTCTAATGTTGTTGAGGTTGTCAGTCAGCACTTCATCTGTTGGTTCCACAGATTCAAATGTGTTTGCTAGTTTTACGATAGCTTCACAAACCTTAATAATCCTGAAATATTAACAAAAATCTGGAATCTTCAGAAATACACATAAAACCCAAGAATCTTCAGAAATACCCTAGAACCCCAGGAATTTTCAGAAAATACCATAGAACCCCAAGATCTTTAGAAATACCCTTAAAACACAAGAATCTTAAGAAATACCCACAAACCCAGAAATATTTAGAAATACCAACAAACCCAGGAATTTAAAAAAAAAAATACCTACAAACCCAGGGATTTGAAGAAATACCCAGAACACCCAGGAATCTTCAGATATATCCATAAAAGCAGAAAAAGCTTTAATCTGAGAGCACTGTTACTGTATATTTATAAACCAAAAACCAGACTGGATTAAAGAACCATCATCACCACTGTGAAACGATCCAACTATAAGCAGTAGTACTTATTTCCATCTTTAGATCACATTAACAGAAGCTTGGGAGCCACCGTGGTGTAGCGGCTAGATCCTCACCTACAGATCAAAAGGGCTTGGGTTCAGGTTCTATCACAGCCAGACTTTCAAAAATTATCTTGGCTCCCAGGTCAATCCAGCCTTAAATGGGTACCAGATACATTCTTGGGAAGCAAAGGTGGCCAACTAGATTTCCACATCACTCACAGAGTGCTGATGGGTCTATAAATTATAGGTCTGTATGCCAAACATGCTAAGGCGTGGAAAAGGGTCCATTACTAATTTACTTTAGAGACAAGCTTAGCTCAGTTCAAAGAACTGGTGTGGATACCAATTTAAATCTAATTCAACATAAAGCCTATTCAATTAAAGGTTGGTTTTCAATTTTTTTGACCAAGTCTTGATTATTTTGCCTACTCATAAGCTTCCAACAGCCAAGGCTGTTAATACAATGGTACATAAAGTTTTATGCCCGTTTTTCTGCTTCCCCATTTTGTTGAGCTTTTTAGTCAAATTTCTCTGGAATTACATAAAGTTAGCATCTGTGGTTTTATGACGAGGTACCGGATTTGAAAACCACTGTGGGTAATTTGAAAGCAGACAGCTTTGCACTGATTTTGACAATTATATCAAAAGCTGACTTCAGAAAACAAAGGTAAACTATTGAACATAAACTTGCCTAGTCATTCTGGTGGAAAGTCCTGGTTGTTCACCCACTTCTGGACTTTGTTATTGTTCTAGAACCTGAGTTTTGCATGCACAATTTTTTTGTAGACCTGCTTGCTTATTTTTTTGCAGATTGTTGGTTCCTCACCTCGCCTCTACAATTATTTTGTGGACCTGCTTGCTTATTTTTTTGCAGATTGTTGGTTCCTCACCTCGCCTCTACAATTATTTTGTGGACCTGCTTGCTTATTTTTTTGCAGATTGTTGGTTCCTCGCCTCTCAGGCAGAGGCATTGGACTCTAAAGAAAACACCCCTTATTAGTCGACTTTTACATCAGGTCTAACCCTTCCCGATGGGGCCCCAGAGCCCACATGGGGAAAAACTGCCCAGTAAAAAACAAAACAGCCAAAAAATGCTTTTGTTGGTTCTGCAGCGTGCTACAAAGGATACACAATTAACTTTCAACAGAAAGGAAAAGGTAGTCACATAGCAAATACTGTTCCTGGGGTACAAAGTTCACATATTCTATGCCACATCATAATGAAGTGAACTAATACATTTTTTCCTATTTTTTTTTAGCTTAAGAGGTTCCGTGTAGTTAGTAGCATCCTTAAAGATTTTTTTTCAAGGGCATCCTGGTGTGTTGGGAAACAGATAGATAGACTGGCTGCCTCTGCACCACTTGGTGGTAAACTTAACACATGACAAGCTAGATAGCATATGGGCCCTTTGGGAGTGGGTAAACAATGTGGAGGCACACACAGATCATTAGAATCTGAAGAGACTGTTGCACAGAGAGGAGTGACCAGGGAATTTAGCCAACAGTGAACACTCAGGGAAAGGTGAGAGAGACTTACAATCAGACTGCTCCTGGTACCAACGGAATTAAAACTACACTTGCTGCCGAAGATGGAGCGCTTATGGCAATGTTTATGGTATGATGCTGGTTCTTAACTCATCTTTCCTGTTTCTGTCCAGACAATTCATGTTATCTCCTCATAGTCATGTGGCATTGGTCATCACATCTATTCAGACTTCTGTCAATCATTTTTTGATGCAGATGTTATTCCATATGATGCCAAACTCTTCAGCATCATCTCTCTTGGTCCCTTTCTTCCCCTTTAACTTAACCCTTGTTATGGTGTACTGCAGTTTTTCCCTTCTTTAGACATCACTAAAGAATCTTGACCATCTTTATAACAGTCTTAGAATCTAGACTGTCTTCATGGCTGCCCTGCAGTATGTTGTGTTTTCACAATCGACATCATTGCACATTGGGCATTCCCATGCATGCTCAGTTCTCTGATGCAACAGCCACTCCAAGGTATGTCTACTGACTACTCCCATGAGAAGTTGGTAAGGGTTTCACCCATCTTGACCACAAAGATGGCACTCATGTGTTTCACCAGGTTTCAATGAGATCATTGCAAGATATGCTAGCTATATGGTCTGCCTGTCCACATATTGTGGTCTTACAGGATATGATAAGAACATGTTCTGTTTGTCCACATATGCATTGGTTTTGAAAGTGTAACAGGTGACATAATCAAACAAGTATTTACTATCATCAGCATGTGGCAAGTTCTTGCAGAATATTGCTATCATCCTGAGCTGCATGAAAACTGTATTGTGAGTTTTCCCGCTTCACACATTGTCATGCCCACCAATGTATTGGTCTGCTCTGTCTATGAAGGAACTGAGCCTTCCATTGTTTTTGTTTTTTTACACCAATGTGCTGCAAAAGTTTACATTTCTAAAGCACAATACTGTTTTATATGCCAGTTATTTTCTTCCAGATGTTGAGTACTCATAATACAACATCAAACATTTGAAAAGGTAAAACATTTAAAAATGAACTGAAGGTGTCAAACATGTGTAGGTGTAGACATTAAACATTTACTGGGAGATTATAATGTATCCCACCTTGATTTAGAGTCCTCCCCCTTCTTTAAATTTAAAATGCGAGCAGCATAACCCGCATAGAATCCAACCTGTGGATTCATTTGAAGAAAAAGAAATGGTTACTTTAGAATCAACACAATAAAATGCCATACAAACCCACAATTCTTCTTCGTGTACACCGGCTGTAAACTCTGGCAAAATGTTTTGGTTGTTCATCCACCTCTGGACTTTAGAATTGTTTTAGAACCCGAGTGTTGCATGAACATCCATTTTACAGATCTGACTTATTTGTATGCACTCTGCTGGTTCCTTGCCTCTCAGGCAGATGTACTCCGACTTTTAAAGGAAAACCCCAATTAGTCAACACTTCAACATGCTTGTTGGGGAGGCAGTGGGTCGATTCTTGTTTTCACCTCAATAAGGCCCCGGAACCCATACGAGGAAACCCACAATTAATCCAACACCTTCAACAAATCCCACAACCTGTAGATGCTGACTGTTAAACTATCAAACTGTAAACATTTTGTCATCTAATATGCTGCTTCTTATGACAAACTTTATCCCTTAGCCCTGTGAATTAAAGAAAAAAAAGGGTTCATGAACACATGGCAATTTCTGTAAAAAAATATGTACACAATTTTTTTTTTGCACAGGCAACTAATACAATTATTTACAATTTTATTTATCTAGTTTTTACATCTTTATTTCCAAATACATACAGACACATTGAGAAACTAATCATTAAACAAGAACAGCATGAAGCAATAAATGGAATGCATTTTCTCAGGGCCCCCACCCCACAAAAAAAAAATATGTATTGGCTGATGCCGTAGCGTTATCAGCAAGGTTTACCGGACATTTTTTTGTCAATCTATCTTCAAAAAAACCTCTGTAAAGCTATATTAGGCAAATATATTCACATCCGGACGCCCTAAGCAATATGCAGGTGCAGACAGAACCAGTGACATTTAGCTGTGCTTTTCGAGACCAGGTCACCTCAAAAACATGATGTATCAGCATATATGGAGCACAACCAGAAGTGACTAGATTGAGCCTTCTCAGGGCAATATGGTTATATACAAATTAAAACAGGAAGAAAATAAAGTGGCAGACCAACTCTGTCTGATGTAGAAATAACCTATGATGACTGAAGCACATGCAGATTAGAAGGAATACAACTGTATGATCAAATCACAAATGCACAACTTATCACACCATTTGGAGAAAAAGGAGGAGGGGGTGGGGGATTTAAATTTCAAAAGCTTAATAGGCATAAACACCCCAGCACTGAAAAGGATCAAAATGTGCAAATATCAGCATCACATATACTCATAACTGCAAATATTCTTCTCTGGGTCTTCTTCTTCTTTCGTTCGCTAGAATATATCTGCAATGTTGTCTCTAGTATGAACTTCATGGCTTTTGCATTTCACTCAGCATTCCGTAAAGTTTGGCTTGCACCGATGTTTCTCTTGGCCAAAAGTTTTGCCTTGATATGTTGTATTTGGGACAGTTTTAGAAGACGTGATCTGTTGTCTCAGGTGCCAATCCAAATGTACACATGGCAGATTCACAGATTACAAATTGTGTGTACATGTGGCTGTGAAGTCGACTGTGTCCTGTTCTAAGGCAAAGAATAATAACCTGCTCTGGTCTGTCAAAAATATGGTAACCGTCTTGTGCTGGTTTTGGTGGCTTTCTGATTGATTTGATTATTCTCTTCTGTTGATAAGAGACTTCTTATGCAGCGTGAAGATGTTTTCACTTTCCATGTACCACTGAACTCTAAGGCAGACTGCATTCCACTGTATTACAGAGGCAGCTGGTAAGGCTAACTAGTATATAACTGCAAGCACTGGAACTATCCTTTCCTGGCCCAACAGTTATGACAAATTTGCAGCAGTTTTGTTTTGGCTGTTGGTTCTTGATCATTTTGTTGGTTATGCCATCGATTCCAGACGGCTTTCCCATTTTCAGCTTCGATATTGCTAACTTCAACTTTCTAGGCGTAACTGGTACCGCCATTACCTCTGGAATTATATTGTTGTGTCTTGAGTGTTGCCGTTTCTCTCGAGCCTCGCTGTTGCCGTTGTTTCGCTGGACTGACATCAATGTTGCTATCTTCAGCAAATAAATCTGTAAAGCGATCGGCAGCTTTTTTTTGTTTTGTTAGGATGGTTCTTTCTGTATAAATTGTAGTATTTGCCTTTCTCGCTGTGCTCTTGTCATTAATTTGTTTTACCAGACTCCACATTGTCCTTTCAAAGTTTAGAGACTTTTTTGTTGCCAACATGCACTTCTAGCCTGCAGCTTGGCTCTTTGAAATGTGGCTTTTGCATGTTGGTATTTGTTAAACAGCTCCTGACAAGATCTGATTTCAGTTTTTTTTTCTTTCGGTTTCCATGTCATTGTGCAATTGTTCTAGATCACAATTCCAGTATGGTTTATATTGCTTACATGCACCTCTAGGTATTGTTTCTAGGGCTGCCTGCAATTTACATTTGCTGAACTCTTCTAGTACTTTGTTATCTGTTTCTCTTGATCTTTTCTGTGCTTGGATCCCCTCCTCAGTATATCCCATAACATATAGCAGTCAGTGGCACTAGGTATGTGTTAGTTAATTTTTTATTACCTACTTAGTGCTTTTGTTTGGCCTCACCCCTTTTTTGACTTGCTATTCTTACAGTTCTGGTCTTATAGTTTTTCCCAGCGACTCAGATAGTATGCTCAGGATGACAGAGATGGGTTGGGTCTAAGACAGTGGTTGGTCTATAAGGTGGTCACAGGTCACAATGATCATTTTTATTTTTGTACCAGAAGGAGCTGTACAAGAAAGTGAGCAAGCTGAAAGGTTTTCAGGTAAGGCAGACAAGTCATGGACCAGGCTGATATACTGGGATCTACAAGAAGTAAGATGTTTGCTAAAAAACCAAATGAGGACTGTGTGTGAATCTGCAAGAACAGCAAAATAAACGGCGTGTGGCCACATAAGAGCACTAAGCAGCAAGCTAAAGAAGAATAAATCACCACAGAACTGGTGTCATCAGATGCTGCATGCTGTGGGATTTACTAGGGAGAGGATCTAAGCATTTATAGACTCAGTTATCTGATGAAAAATGAGGATGATCTTGTGATGCACTGTTAGTTACTAACTACCAAACAGTTCTGGTGATGTTATCATTATTCATACACACATATGATCCTCTCCAAGTGGGCTGCGGGGCCCTAATATAGCGAAACAAGAATAAGCCCACTGCCTACCCAAAAGCATGTCGTAAGAGTCGACTAACTGGGAGCTTCCTTCGAAGTCGGAGTGCATCTGTCTGAGAGGTAAAGAACCAACAGACTGCACATGAATGAGAAAGATCTGTCAAACTGATGCACACGCAACACCTAGGTTCTGACACTGGACTGCAGTCCAGAAGTGGACGAACAACCAGAACTTTCCTCTGGAGTTTAAGCAGGTGAACGCAAAGAAGAATAAGACATATGATCTCTAAGCGTAGCGCGGTGATTTCGGTCACAGGCATGAGGCAAAATTAAGTCTGATGTGAGGTGTATAAGGAGATACTCCGTACCCCACTCGGGTGCCAGTCCTTCACTGTTCTGGTTTTACGGAACCTCATGCAAGACTCCTGTTGCACGTCCCCGTCGTGCGCCACGGATAATGTCTCAAATGAGCATTAACAGAGTTGGCAGGGGATCTCGGAGCTGGCGGCCCCCAGAGGTGTAGTGTCCTTTCTGGCTCTCACCAGCCCGCCCCCAAACGCATGGGTGAAAAGTCTAACAAAACTCAAAATTTGCTTGCTAAATGTACCATCAAATGACAACTCTTGGTTAAAATTACGGGAGGGAATTTAAAACTGTGCTGCTGAGACTCAACCCTGACCGAGAGATTTACCCGCAGCCAAGACGAGTAACATCTCTTGTGGGCGACTTCTCGCAGCAAGATCCTACCTACGTACATCCTCTGTCAATCCTCAGTGTCGTCGTCACCGCGCTGAGGTACACCATGGCAGCAACTTTTCATATGCTGGTTTGGAAATAATGTCCGACAAAGTTATACCCCACGGCACACATGCAAGCTCAGAGTCCGACGATCATAATTCGTACCGATTAGGAAAAAGTCTGAATGTCCGTATCCGCTGGTCCAACTCGCCCGAGTGTTGGGACCAAACAGGTGAAGCCACGCCTGACGCATTTTGCTTCCCAATTTTGTCGTGCTAAGGGCACAGCTGAAACAACGTTAAAGGTGTCTAACGTAAGATGAAAAAGAATGTACCTATTTGTGTGGCCACAAACGTCCTAGACCTGCCGGCTGCTCCCCGCTGATCTCCGGAGAGCGCAGCCTTGTAGCGCAGGAAGCTCAATACACGGTTGTGAGGTTAAGCAGTCATGGGCAGGAAGTGACGATTCCTTGGGTGAGCCCAGAACCAGAGCATCATGTGTCGGCTCTGCATTTATGGAAGCCTCCTTGGATGGCGGGGAATGCCTATGATCTGCCCCTGCCTTCCCTTGAGGGCTGAAAACTCTACATAGAGCTGCCTTAAGGACGACATGCCGGGGGCCACACCTGTCAAAAAGGACACCACACAAATGAGGCAACATCTCGACCCACACAAAACAATGGCCACAGTCAACCTAGAAATAGGCTTGACGTCTTCCTCCGAAGTCGGAGTACATCTGCCGGAGAGGCGGGGAACGAGTACTGCAAACAAATAAGCCAGTAAAATGGATGTACACGCAAAACTCAGGTCAAGGTAAAAGCCAAAAGTCCATTTTGGACGAACAACCGCGACTTACCGCCGGAATTCACAGCCGGTGAACAAGAAGAAGAAGAAGATCTCTAAGCTCAGAATTTATAAAAATAAACCAATTCTAAGCAGATCCAAACTGACCTCTGATCCTATTTCAGTCCCTTTTTGAGCACCCAGAGCAAAGCCTTCTTCATAGCTTTTGGCTGTGGCTTCTTGAACTCCTTCAGTGTAACCCTCTTGCCAGGAGCTGAAATTGAATTACAATGTGAAGACAAGTATTAACTGGCAACTGCAAACAAATCTTGACAAAAATGTCCACATTTTGTAACTGTCAGGACTTTTTTCTGGTGGTATGTAATGGATGGTATTCAGTACCCACACTTGTTTGTCAGCTTGATATAATGGACTATTTGCAGTGAGTACTTGATTTAGTACTACTCTGTATATATGAACTTTGTGGTGAGTACCGGCAAATTTTTTGTTTAGGGTAGGAAAAAAGCCCCCGTCACGTCAATAATAAATATGATCATTACAACATTACTTATTCATTTGTGTACGATGGAGATAAATGGAGAAGGCTGATTCCCTAGCTTTGCTTGCTTTTAGTGCTGATGTGATTGAACTGTCAGATCGCTGTTTATGCTTTATGTACATGATACTAATGATGGTCATTACTGATTGTTGTTCTGTCAACACAGCACTAAGTGTTCCTATAACTATAAGTGTACTTTAACTTTACTACTACTACTACACTACTGTGACTACTTACTAAACTTACATTTCTTCACACATTGTAATCGAATGAAATAAATCCTCCTCAAATGTTTGTTCTTTTTGCTTGACAGACATGACGACTGTTCCGTATGTGAGCTAAGTTATATTATTAATAGGATAGTTTTTTTTTCAAGAAGATTTAAACTGAAATATTAGGTAACCGTTCAATAAAAGCGATGTCAGCAGCGATAACCACGCTTTAAGTAAACAGTAGAATTTGACAGAAACAAACAGCGGAAGAAGAACCGTGATGGGAAGGGCTCTCAACTTTTTATCTGAAGACCCGCGCTATTTTTGCTAATTAAGTTGGTCGCCGTGGTGCAGCGGATAGATGCCTGGGGTGGGGGAGGGGGGGTGGGGGAAATCAACAGACGGTCTTTTAATCAGACTGCATCTGGAACTATCACTGTAGGACCTCTTCGTTTGCTATAAGGAAGGGGGAGAGAGAGAGAGAGAGAGAGAGAGAGAGAGAGAGAGAGAGAGAGAGAGAGAGAGAGAGCACTTATAATAATGTCCCGAGTACAGCGATGCCAGTTCTTGATCGATTCACTCATTATTAGGACAGTCTTATAATGGCCAGCAAAGCTGTTATCGTCTTCTGCATCAAAGTCCACATCTTGCTTTATAATCTGAAGTTTAGAGCTTTGTTAATGCACCCTCTCCCAGCTGCTATCATAAGTTTATTGTAAAGAGTACACCTTTAGTCTGATTTACGATGTGAGTCTGAAGCCCATTGTTCTTGGTAAACTTTTAGATTTAGCTGAAAACTGTACCAAACATCCATTCATATATTGATTAGGGAATAGGGATTGACTAGAAAATGACTACGGGGTAGACAAAGAGCTGAGCGTCCGAGAAGAAGTACATTATATATGACAGCAATGGCCCTAAAATCCTATTCTGTAATTGTGTGAGACGTTTTTTTAACAGGAACAAATCCTAGAAACTCCATTCAACAAGATATATATCATCAAGTGGTTACGAAGTATCCTTTTGTCCAGAGTGTGTAAGTAAACTGAAGTATATCTATTATGTGGGTGTGTTTTATTTACTAGTCACACTCGCCATGGGTTGTGAGTCCCATTCCTCTGCATAGGGCATAATAACAATCTTCTTCTTCTTCTTTCTTTCTTTCTTTTGTCAAAATCTGCTTGTGCCGCTAGGCGTCGCAGTCTATCAGATGATCGGCAACCGAGCCAGGGCGCGCTCAGTCGCTTCATATGCCGTGATGTTATGAAGTCTCAAGTTGTCCGTGACTCCTTCAATCCATCTTCTTCTTGGTCTTCCCCTGCCTCTTGTTGTTTCGATTTTCATGTTGTATGCTCTTGATGCTGGCATCGTTGGTTCCATTCTCATTAGGTGACCAAACCATTTCATTCTTTGCTTCTCAATAAATTTAACGATGGGTATGGTTCCAATAGTTCTTGTAATCACATCGTTTCTCACTCGATCTCTTCTGGTTTCGATAATAACAATATTGTCTGAAAATACCGAAAGATTCCAAACTGGGGGTTAAAGGGACCAGCTTGAGAACCGCTGGTCAAAGGGACACGACTCCTAGTTTGTTTACTAAGTTTACTAAAAGCCTAGCAGACTAGACACGAGGACACAAACAGAAGGCAAGTCAGCTAGAAAGTATAAATTGGTGTTCGTATAATAGGGCAGGTTTTGATTTTAGAGTAGACAAATAAAGAAAGAAACAACAAGCTTATAATAAAGATTTCAACTCCTTTCAGTTTAATCAACAGCATTTTCTTTGGTCTCGCCGATTCCTTTGCCCTGAAAGTTTATCTATATTACCACCTCTGCCATGGCTAGACTTCTACATGTTCTGGGATCGTTGAAAGCTGTGTCGTCATGTAGTATAGAACCACGACCGTGTATAGAACACGCGACATCGGCGCTAATGTAATTGGAGGGAAGGCAATGTGACACCCCTCCATCGTAGACGAGTCTGAGAAAGTATGAATGAAAGTTCAGGTAGTGTGTGGATGGGCTGGAAAATGTGAACAGAACCAAACCAACTACTGACTTAACTCTTTCTGGCCAATAATTTCACAGAATATCAACGAATCAAATGATTTGGTCATCTGAACTACATAAGAGCAGAAGGCCACTAGAGAAGAGGCTAAACAAAAAAGAGATGAGTGGAGGGAGTAAATAAGACACTACAAAAACACAGCACGATATTAACATAAGCTACATAACTAGCAAAAGAAGGAAAGCACATATAACTCTTTTCTGTGACAATTTGCAGCACAAGCAGTTGGACAAAAGAAGAAGTAAAACCTAAAGTAAAGGTACATTTTCACGTCAATGGCACATCCGGCATATTACGCTAGACATGTATTTATTGACACCAACCTGCCCTCGATGGATGATAGGGTGAACATGATATCTAATACATTTACTTCTAAGGACATTACCTGGTACCCAGTTTAGGCAGGTGCATTTGGAAGCAAAGATTAAATTTGAAAAAAAATCCATGTTGATTTGGATTGGAACCTTAGATCTTTGGGCTGGAAGGTGAGTATCTAGCCATTACACTCCTGTAGCTCAATTTATAGCTTTATCACAACCCCGAAAGGTATAAAGGTGGCAGTATCTAAAACAGTAATACAAATTGAATAATTGTCCTAAATAAATAAATAAATGCACATAAATAAAATAAGTTAGATACTCTGAGAACTCGATGAACACTTTAAATCCACATTATAACAGTGAGGGTTAAACAGGATATTTTTGTAAAAATTACTACCACCTCTACCACCATCACTACTACTACTACTACTTAAATTCATACAAATTTGAGCCATAATGGGTTACAGTAATAGGGATTTGAGAGAGAAGTAGCTGAAGTAAATATTTAACTCTTTTAGTATTAGAAGGTTTTACAGGAGATGCCAGAGTGAAGAAATAACCATGATAATAAGGCATGAATGAATGATTTTCCAAGTGGCAATACACACAGTGGTAATTATATTGGAGAAGCCAAGTGTGTTCTGACTAAATATTACACTTAAGAGGTCATACTATACTATAGAGCAAAATCAGGGGATGGTGTCGCTAAAACACTATGTATTGCTTAGGACTAAAAGAGTTTAAAAAAATAGTGTTAGTGGGACTTAGGGGACTTTAAAAAGGCGCGACTTTGCTAAGTGAAAGTGACCACCTCGCTAAGTGAAAGTGGGCACCTAGCTAAGTGAAAGTGGCCATCTGGCTAAGTGAAAGTGGCCATCTTGCTAAGGAAAGTGGCTAACTGAAAGTGGCCACCTCGCTAAGTGAAAGTGGCCACCTCGCTAAGTGAAAGTGGCCACCTCGCTAAGTGAAAGGGGCCACCTCGCTAAGTGAAAGTGGCCACCTCGCTAAATGAAAGTGGCCAAGTTTATGTTCTGGTCCAAACCATGCCAGTCTCATGAAATGAATACCAGCAATTTCTTTTCTGCCTATCAGCTTCCACTGGAGCATCATTGTTGTTATTCATCCATCTACACATGATCTTTCACCTCCCACTCGAGCATAAGTCCTCAAACAAGTCATGTCCTTTGCCACCCCTTGTAGCTTTCCTTTATGTTGTCCCTATATTATTAAAATATTATTCTGCCCTAATTCTCTTCTCCAATAGTTTTTAAGGTCCCTCTAGCTATTTTGTCATTTGTTCCATTGACAGAATATTCCTAGTGATACTAATTATGGGTTATAAAACATGTCTCCTATCCAGCACCAAGGAAAGATTTAAAACCGAATGAAAAGTGTATGTCAGCAAGCTTCACAATATAACAAACACCTACAAAACAGGAATGTTGCGGCTTTAAAGCCTCATCAGCACATACTTAAATCAAACGAAACCGCACAAATACACAAAATAACTGAACTCACGTTTCCAGATGCAGCCACATGGATGTCTTGCCAGTGAAATGAAAAGAAAACACTGAATCAGAGAGAAAAAAAACGCAGAATGCCAAGGGCTGTAACTTAAGAATTTTAGATGAAACTATGTTGACAGTTCAATCTTTTGGGTGTTAAAGTTCCCAAAGGGTAAACAAAGTGATATTCAAATTTCACCTACCTATCACCAGCATCTTTCCTTCACCTCTTGATCTGTAGGAATTTGTCTAGTTCTGCCCTTAAGCTGTGCATTAGTAATTTGGTCATACTGTTGTTTTTATTCTAGTCTACACTTGCAATAGTCATCGGAGGCTATGTCTGCTGTGTGTTAGTGAGACAGGTTGTTGTTTACACCTTTCGTCTTTCCAGACGACAGTGTTATATTGTCCTGTGAGCCCATGGCGATGGCGAGCGTGACTGACCAGACAAGTTAAGAACCCTTTTTTATGGCAGTGGCCTATTAGGCTTGTGATGCTTGTGATATTGTTTTAACTGGTTTCTAGTTCGAAATCCAGAAGTCTCTAGTGCCCTCACTATTCAGCTGGTAATTACGCATATGTTGACGAAACACCAATTTGATAAGTTGTCATTTTACTATACTTTCAACAATAGTCTTATCTGGTCACTGTCCTCTGTTCTCACTCGTCTTGTTAGGATTAGTCGTCAGTGCAGTTACAGTAATCACTCACACTGTTCTGCACCTGGTTACCTTTCATTCAGTGCGTTCCACTCAAAAGAAGGACTGGTGAAGGACTTGCATCTCCAGCACAGCACCCCAAATCTTCACAGTCGTTTTTGGGTGTCAATTCAAGATAGCTTCTGTTCCAACATTCATTCTTAGGTGTCTGGGACTTCTCTGCACTGTCAGTAGTTACACTTCATAGCAGTGAATCCTCTTGCCACACTAGACCATTCACTCTGGCTGTCAAACACCAACTCTTTCTATCTCCTTTCTCATCTTCAGACCTTAGCTCTTATCCCACGGGTTTTCACTAGCAATCCTTCATTAACTACGGGAACTTGCACTCCTTGACCCTAACTCATCATTTTGGGAAACTTGGGGATTCCACCTCACTACAATGCTAGATTGATTGGCACTCAGTGAGTGATGTGGTCAGTATCACGACGGTGGCCTGTCTTTCCCAGGACTTCACCTGAAAAATATTAATGGTTGGTCGACCTGGGTAGCCAAGGCAATAATACTTGATTTGGATATTAAATGGAAGGAAGCATCTACCAACGACACCGCCACAGGTGCCATGAGGAGTTAAGATAAATATAGCGTTATCTGATATCGAATAAGTTAATTTTAATTCTCTGTCTGTCTGTCTGTCTGTCTGTCTGTCTCTCTCTCTCTCTCTCTCTCACACACACACACATGCACGCATACAGGTGCCCGCGCACACACGCAGACACACACAACACCCCCGCTCATAATACTCTTTGATACTGTTAAAGTATCTTCTAATTTACTATTATTTTGGCCTGGAGAGAATGGGGCATCTAGGTGTAACCAGAGGGTCTGGCCGGCTCACTACACTCAGAGAAAAGGCAAGATGGACATGTAACCAGATTGTGACCGGTACCATCAGTATTGGAACTCTGCACTGGCTGCTGAAGATGAGGACGGAGCACACATGGGAATGCCCTGAGTGCTGTGATTTCAGTTCTCGACTGAACTCTACTTTACTAACCATATACCTAATTAACTAGCCTCATAGCATCGACATGGGTCATTAGTTTCCTTTTTTCACTAAATATTTATATTTTATTTACACATCAGAGCATTATATCACACATATTTGTCATCCCATTCATCATTTTCAGTTACTCCAAAAATAAGTGAAGGCACAGTGGCAAATATGATCCTCTCATAGGGTAGCATTCTGGGCAGGCTGCCTTCTTCTCCTTCTCCTCCTCCTCCTCCCGTTTGAGAGTACAAGCTTGAGAGGCAAGGATTTGAAAATATATTTACCCATCAAATAATTCTACTACTATTTTTTTATACCCTATTTTCAGTTACCCTGGCAGAGAATGTCCAGGGAAAAAGTGGGAGAGGAAGACTGTGAGCTGCTAGCAAATGTTCACACGTGCCTGCCAAGTCAGCCTCTGGATTCCTTGTGCAGGGGACATTACCTGTACTACCACTATGGCTGTGACGGTATAGATGATCGGGTGAGTCTGCCTTATATTACAAGACTTTGCCATTGTTGTCCTCATTACAACTATGCATTTATAGTTGAGACTGGACTGTTTTGCGCTCGGGCCTTAGTGACAAAAGTCTCTTAATGTGCTAAGAAAAGAACAAAAATTGTGTGCTTTCTCCACAGTAAAGATTCGCCAGTGTACCACTGTTTTCTTTGCAAATATTATATAATGAGGTTCAGTCTCTTCTGTAGTTCAACTCTGACACCACTGTCCGAAAACACTTGTGCTCACAGATAATGAAATTGTTAAACACATTCACTGACCTGTAAGCCACAGTCACAGAAAAGAAGATGAGGTTGGTTAATTCTCTTAGATAGCAGAGACAGTCTCAGCATCCTCCTCACCCCTTGATTTACTTGACTTTGTTTAGTTCTGTCCCACAGCTCTACATTTATCATTCTGTTGTGTCATTTAACTTTGGAGTGCAGTGTTGAGTGCTAGCAGCTCACAGTCTTCCTCTCCCACTTTTTCCTTGGACATTCTCTACAAGGTAACTAAAAAAAGGGTATAAAAAAATAGTAGTGGAGTATTATTTGATGGGTAAATATATTTTCAAATCCTTGCCTCTCAAGCTTGTACTCTCAAGGTAGATTTGTGAAAAAAAAAAAAAATGGACATTCTCTCAGGGTCCTATCCTTGTTTTTTTTTCACTTTGGCTTTTACCGCTTCGAGCGTCGAGGGAGATGTAGGGTTGTGCTTCTTGCTTTTCTGGCTGCCTGTCATAGACACATCATAATGTTGTAGTTGCTCTAATGTTGTCTTTCCATTTGTTATTGGTCTATCATGTGCTCTATCATATCCTTCTCCTCTTTGGGTGTAAGCCTTGTATGGCATGACATAGCAAAGCATTTTTTCTGTATGGGTTTTATTTGTCTTTTGTCTTTGTATGTAATTCTTGGTTTTGTGCCAACTTTTTCTTTTATGACCTCGTTTCTGATTTGATCTCTTCTGGTAATTTATGCTGCCCTTCCCAGACATCTCATTTCCATGTTTACTAATTTTTCCCTTCTGTTTTGTTGTGAGTGGCCATGTCTGACACTTGTAGCATATATTTGGAATGAATATGCTTTGTATGAGATGTTTCTTTATACTGATCTGGATAGTCTTATGCTGTAAGAGAGAGGCTAGCTGTCCCAATATTGGGTTTGCATTACTGTTTGATTTAATTTGATTTGATTCAAGAACCGACATCACAGCACTCAGGGCATTCCCAGAAGCACTCCATCCCCATCTTCAGTAGCCAGCGAAGAGTTCCGATACTAATGTTGCCAGTAGCATTCTGATTAAACGTCCGTCTTGCCTTTCCTCTGAGCCTTGAGCATCTGCCGAACCTCTCGTCACTCCCCGCTGCATCAATCTCACCAGACAGTGGTGATCCATCTGCTCCTCCAAACTGTACACGGTCTCCCACAAGGCACTAACCACGTCTGCCTTATCATGTATTAGTATTCCACCAAGTTGTGCAGAGCCAGCCAGTTTGTCCACCTGTTCATTTCCCAACACACCAACGTTCCCCGGTGAAAAAATCCAGACAATACTCCTCACCCGTGTCCTCTGCAGTGAAGCATGCCACTCTGCATGAAGCACACCTGTTCTGATCTTCCTCAGCATGCTTTCTGAATCAGTTATAATCACGATGTGTGTTTGTGTCGTGTTCTCTAGCCAGCGGAAAGCTGCAGTGACCGCCTCCACCTCCATTCTTAAGTTGGATGTTGTGGTATCGTATGCTAGGCTCTCCTGCACCAAACGTCGACCATTAACTTTTGCTAAGAAGCCCCAAGCACTTCTTTTGCCTCTTGACACTGAACTATCTCTGTAAATGATCAAATCTCCTGAGCGAGCATTATCTTGAATTAATTGCTGAATTTCAACCTCTGTGGCACCTGCTGGCCAGTCTCTGCATTCCCAGCTCAGCGTGATTATGACTCTACACAAGTTTGACTGTTCAGGTGGCACTTTGACCCACTCCTCTCCTAATGTTCTCAAGGATGCAAACCTATCTGATTGTGTATTCTGCCTGAGCCATCCATGACCTTTCTCTTATCAGCCGCTGACCCTTAACTGCACCCAGAGCTTTATGCAAAGGGTGGTCTGTGTCTGCAGCTACCCTGAGATATGACTTCCCCTGCAGCACCTTGTGTTTTTCATTACTGTTTGTAATGCCTAAAATAGGTGTCAAGCAATATCCTGGGATGTAAAGGCTGCCTGTGTAATGTTGACCACACCACACATCAAGGGGCAACAGGTCAATACAAATATGCAAAAGAGTTCCTTTACTTGTCATTTGTGCCATGGCACGCAGGCATGCAAGGAAATGAGCAAGCTGATTGGCTTGCAGGTAAAGCAGCTGTGGAGGGTGGACAAGCAAACACCATGCTATTCTGAATTCTCTACAAGACGTAAGATATTTTGCAAAAACCAGTTGATGACTGCGAATCTGTAACCATGATCAGACTGCAAGAACAACATGTTAAAAGTGGTGTGGCCAGATAAGAGCATTATGCAGGAAGCCAAAGAAGAATGAGAAACCAATACAGAACCTGTGTTGGGAGCCGTTACACTCTGTGAGATTTACTTAGAAGGGGATCCTAGCACTTATGGACTGAATGGTTTGATGTGCAGTGACGATAATCTGTCGACTAACTAACTAACTAACTAACTTATCATTTGCTTAACTAAAAAGCGTCCTTAAAAAATGTTAGGATTCAATTCCATGTGTTCAGAGCAGACACTAGTTAATGCATTATATCTTTAATCGATTCAGGGCTGGGGTTGTGGCTACAGAACACTACAGACCATCTGTTCTTGGGTCAGGCACCATAATCTGTCATCAGCTGCTGCATCAGGCTCACATCAGAACAGTCCGGTTGCAAGCATTGTCCAGATTCAAGAAGCACTTGTGGAAATGGGAGATAAACCCACATCATTTGTACACTCCAGACAGTGGATTGGCAGCTTTGAAGTATGTTTGGCTTTGGATCACTTCTATGATGTAAGTGACAAAGTTTTGTTTAATTACAGAGAGTTGTCTTAAGTTGTGCTTTGATGATAATGAGTTGCATTTTAATTGTGAGTTGTAGTTTAATTGCTGATGGAAAATACAGTGGTGTGAACATGTAACAAATCCAGAACTGTACTTCAGGCTCTGTAGAGGAGAAGACATGAAGAGGCAGACTACGAAAGACCTGGATACAGAGTTTGACTGAAGTAGTCTTTCCTCTTGAGCCTAGGGTGATGCATAGGGCAGAGGTCATAGCTCTCCAAGCCTGGCGGTTTGTTGCTACCTGCTTAGGTCTTGGACGTTTGTTAGGCCCATGGTTGAGCCTTCCCTGAGGATAGTTCTGTATAGAGTCTTTCTTGGTCTTCCCCATTTTCTTTTCCATTCTGGTGTCCATATGAAGGCTTCATGGTGAAGTCTGTGACTTCCAGTTATTTGACAGTTTGTTAAAGGGACTAGATGCCAGTGCGATTCTAGATGATATTTCTGGCACTGAGTTTCCTGTAGATGTTATCTTCCTTCCTAGGTATGTTAAGCTGTTGACTTAAAAAAAATGTGATTGTTTAGTCTGATGTCGTCTGAACTGTTGGTAAGATCAATAATTTTTGTTTTTGCAGTGTTAATTTTGAGACTAATTCATCCTGAAACATTTTGGAGATAGTTTGTTTTCTCTTAGATGTCTGGGCGTTGAACTCAAAAGTACTATGTCATTTGACTGAATGGACAGGCCTAAAAAAAAAAAATTATAAAGTCCATTACAGCTGACAGACAAAGGTGGAGGCAACTTATCAGTCAGCAGAAGATATTCTTTTTGGCATTCATTGGCTTAAAACTCTGGCACAAAGTTCTGGTTGTTTGTCACCCTCTGGACTTTGGTCTTGATCCAGAACATGAGTTTTGTGTGCACATTCGTTTTTACGCATCTGACTTATTTGTATGCAGACTTTTGGTTCCTTGTCTCTCAGACAGATGCACTCCCACTTTGAAGGAAACACCCCTAATTAGTTGCCTGCTATATTGACCTGTCTCCCCCCAGAGGCCATTACCTTGTAGTGGTGGGGGAGCTTGAGAGCCTCAATGATCTAATGAGCTATGCCGGCGGGAACGTATGTTCCTGGCAGGGTCACCCAAGCCGGACAGGTCATTGGTGAGGGGCCAGACTAAATATGGCCTCCCGGTCCTCCAGGCTGGGGGGTTGGGCGCAGTGTTGACAGCTCTGCCCTGTAAAAAATCTACAACGTTACTGAAACTTCAAGAGGAAATAAGTGCTCTAAACGTCCGGTGGTCTTAGGACAGAGTCCCTCTGTCAGCATGCATCTTTGACATGGAAAACTGCACTGAAGATTGCAGATGGAAAGTCCTCTCTGAAGCCTCATGTGCCACTAGGCATAACGAAAACTGACGATGATGATGATATTGACCTGTGTTAGTTGGGCAGTGAGTTTTTTCTCTGTTCTCCAAAATGGATCCCTGATATCCACACTGGTAAGCATTAACATAAGGAGGAAATGGATATAGATAAAAGGCAGATGACCGGCAATAAACCTGACAGGAAAAGTACAATGTCACAAGTTTTTCCTGTTTAATGGCATGTGGAACAAATTTAAGGGGTTGGTGATATTATTTACCAAAAAACTTGCAGCATTATCTTTTTCTTCTTCGCATTCACCAGCTGTAAACTGGTGGAAAGTTCTGGTTGTTCATCCACTTCTGGACTGCAGTCGCTTTCCAGAACATGAGTGTTACATGTGCATCCGTTTTACAGATCTGACTCATTTTTTTTGGTACGCAGACTCCTGGTTCCTGCCTCTCAGGCAGATGCACTCCGACTTCGAAGGAAACTTCCAGTTAGTTGACTCTTACGACATGCTTTTGGGTAAGCAGTGGGTCTATTCTTGTTTTCCCTATTATAGGGCCCCGGAACCCACACGAGGAAGACTTCAGCATTATAATGTAATCCTTCTTGGGTGTCTAATATTTACAGAAAGTAGTAAGTTCTCCAGTATGACAGTTAACAAATAGGGGATCCATTGCAGACCTTTGAAAATATGAGGGGAGCTCTAGGTTTTAGCTGTTTGGGAACCACTGCAGTAGACAATTCACAAGTACGGCACACTTTAACTATTTCAGTCCCAGATACTCATTACTTGAACATTTCAACATGAGTACTTTAGAGGATAATCTGTTTCAAGCAAATGAAAGAAGAGGTACAGTCTGTGTGTTTGATGGAGCTCAGTAATGTAGAATAAATTAAATAAAACAGTTACTATAGAACTGATTATGGTATTAGAAGAATGTATAAAGTAATCAAATACCTATGGGTGTTGCTTGGCACTGAAAGGGTTAAACTGAAAGTGAGCATCTGATTCCACAATTTTCCCAGGTTCCCTGTAAAATTCTCCACATCGACAAGGGGGTGAATATAAGTCAGTTCATGCCTGAACTATGTGAACATTTCAGAACTGTAGGATCACCTGTGATGATGGGTGAGTTGTGCATTTTAAATTTTATTTGGTCTTTTCTCATGCTTGTACACTCTTCTTATTCACTGCTTCAGCTTTCTGTTCCTGGATGGAGCATAGAACCACAGCCAACCTGTGCCAAGCCTTCTTATTCTTTGACATCTTATGCAACATATCCCCTGTCCTGCCTATCATTTTTACCTCTGTTTTTATATTATTTTCTTTCTTGTGTGAGTTTCGGGGTCCCGTTGGGGAAGAGGGGGGGGGGGGGGTTTGAGACTAGACCCACTGCCTTCTAAGAATGTTCTAAAAGTCAATCGATTTGGGGTGTTTCTTTCGAAGTCAGAGTACAAATTGAGAGACGAGAGACCAACAGTCTGCATACAAATAAGCCAGTTCTATTAAATGGAAATGACTAAGACTAAAGTTTAGAAGTGGACGAACAGCCAGAGCTTTCCTCCAGAGTTTACAGGCAGTGAGCTCAAAGAAGAAGAAAAAGAATCTTCTCTATGTGATTTAAGGTCAGCTTCTGTGGCTTAGACCTTGTGTACACACTTTGTAATTCCACACTCCATGGTTTGGTTGCAGCTGGAGGTGATTTGACAGTAGACCATTTTGTTTGGATTTCAGCAATGATATTGAGAGCTCTTCATTCAGAAAGCAATGGCAAATTACTGAACATGAATTGCTAAGAAAAAAAGCCCCAAAATGCTGGGGTCGGTTCTACAATGTCCTGTAAAGAATATACAACTAACTGAAATGTTTTTTTTTACATCAATATTTTGTTGTTGTTGCTCATATACCTTATTCCACCTGAAATAGTAGTAGATACTTCTTGTTGATTCCAACAACAGCATGAATGTTGAACTGTTATAAAGCAATGGCAAATTACTGAATGTAAAATTGACAAGCAAAACTACAGTCAGCCAACTTGGAATTGGTTTTAATAAAGGATATGCAACAATCTTATACTGTAAAGGGTGTGTAAACTGTAATAGTATATAATACACCATGTGCTATTTCCACAATGAAAGTCGACTACAATGTACCACTGTTGTCATTGGGAATATTACGCAGTGAGGCCCTATCTCTTCCCTGGTGCGACTCTCATACTGCTATTAAAAAACCATAAACATTTTTTTAAAAATAAACTGTACCGCAGAAATTAAACTAGGTGTTCGAGAATCATGAAATTGTTAAACACATTCACTAACTTCTAATTAACTGTTTTCTTCACTTTCATCATAATGTGTTTCTTATCTGTTTGCTTGACCTTGATTATCTGCTTTTTTTTTTAACCTTTATTATTCTTTACACAGGTGGGGAGTCAGACAACTCATCCAAGGGAATTATGGGAGCCAGAATGAATGACCCAGCTCTGCTTGTTGTGGTAGGTCTTTGTTTTTTTCTTTTAATTCAGACCCTGTTGTGCCTTTCAGTATCAAGTTATGAAGAAGCTGTCAGGCTATCAGTCCAGGTTCCATTCTCATCATAAATGGGTCACCCCTCTTGATATGTTCTTGAGCCAGTAAAAAAAAATTACAAAACCCCCACCACTGTTTCATGTGAAAAATCAAACATACAGCAACCCTGGCAAAATCCAACAGCTTGCAGAAGCATAACGTGCCAACACCTACAGTCTGTGACCAGAACTGCTATTCACCGAATGACCACCTCATTTTCAATCCCCCAGATCTCGCATTCACATGTGACTCATTACTGTGAGCGTCATGTGTCTGTGTTGACTCTGGGGTAGGCTTGTGCTCAGCAAATTTGTATTCTGTCCTCGTCCCACATGCCGTATCTCTTGTATGCCCAAGTATAATACACATATCGTCGTTCTGTATCCTGTCCATCCTCTCCAACTACTTATGGCTGAGAGTCAGCATCACCATCGCCTGAACAAACAGAAAGGACCAGCCCTAGATGCAAAAGACAAATAACCCTGTTCACAGTTTGCCAAGCCCTGTCGGTATTTATGATCACCTGCTGTATGTGCACAGTATGAGCCAGGCTGGGTTCATCTGGAAGTCCAGATCAGTTTAAAAAAAAATATAACCATGGTACTGAGATATATTTAAAAAATGAAAAAATGGGTCTTTAGGAGAGTTGGCTACCTCACCCCTTTAAAAACTTAAGCTACGTATTCCAAGCAGTCTCAACTTTTTAATTACCACGGAACTCACAGTATGTTTATTGATTACTCTTTATATGGTACCAGTTTCTTTACTTTTTATGCCCAATTCTTTTGTTATCTTAACCCATCCTAACTCAACTGTTACATTGACTCATGCTGTCCCAAAGCTGTACTTTTTGATTTATAAGATTAAAAAATGGTTGCAATGTGGTACAAAAAAGGTAACTGTGCAGCAGTAACAACTACAGGCGACTGAAAGAGTTAACCGGGTTTAACTTAGAATAAATTGAATGAGAGTCTAGGAAAGGAGATGAAAGGCAGAAGAAGAAGACTTTTCTGTTGTCTCGTATGATCTTACATATACTGTATGTTGAGTAATATTTTTTTATTTATATTATCACAGTCGTGCCTCTCATTGTCACTTTTGAAAGTGTTTGCTGGGCCGCATATAAGATGATGTTTGTTACTACTGCCAGTCTTCTAATCTGTGTCAGTGCTGTGTCAATGTCTGTGGTTAAAGAGTTATGAATGCAGCTCATATTTCTAATATACCCAGTTTGATTCAGCTGCAGGCCGTGTCAGCAGCAGACTTCTTTGCGTTGATTTTGGCGATTGAGCAAACGGGGACAAACAACTGAATGTAAACTTGCCTAGTAAAACAACAGCCAGCGAAGGCTAGGGTTTGGTTTACAACATCCTGTAAAGTAGAGTTGTTCAGCTAAGTTAACTGCTCAGGGTTCAAAAAGGAAATCATCACAGGCCAGAGGCCTGGGTTCCAGCTTTGAGAGATTTAAACAATTTTTTTGTTTTCTTTCATTATTTTGGCAATGATCTGTGGGCTACTTGCTAGGTCTTTGTGAGCCGGATTGGCCCTCAGGCCTTCATTTGAATAGCCCCTCTGTAAAGGATATCATATTCATCTTTAGCATTGCCATGCTGATAAGTGTAGACTGACATCTCACCAGAATCCTGGTCAGTATTCTTGTCTCACCCCTTTCACAGCATTTATGTCTTTACTTTTCCCTTCCTCTCTTTATATGAATCTTGCCAGTTGTAACAAAGTTTTGAGTTCATTCCTTCTTATAAAATTTCAGAAGAACACTGACTCTCTGTGTCCAATTTTCCTTATCAGTTTTTGGTTTTAATCTATCTCGAGGAGGATTGCCTCGTTTGTTTTTCTGTTTTTTTGTTATTCAGTATTTTTTGCGTTGTTGTCAAAAACCACATCTCTCACTAACTTTGTAAAAGTGCTATTTATGGGCAGTCCGGTCTTTTACATGTTCTTTGCTTCTACTGTTTTGTTAATCCATCACTCACATAATCTGCCTCTTGTTCTATTTCTTGTGTGTTTAAATGTCAGTGTTGTTTGTAATAAGCTGTTTGTTAATATTCTTATTACATGACCAAGCCACCTGACTCAAAGTCTTTTGTTGTTGTTGAGATTGTACCCATTTGCCCATGGTGTGAACTGAGTGCACAGCTATTGATCCTTTCTACAGGATCCTCATTATTTTGGTGAAAGACATACCCTGGAAGTTTTACAAAGTTCAGGCTATGTGAGGTGGATGCCTATTGGTGAGCTTCATAGCAATACCTTCTACAACATGTGTCTACCCAAAGTACCATGGCTTGACAGTGCAAACTTTCAGACCAGCTCTTTAACCAAATGTATGCTGAGTGAACATTGACACAAACTCTTCTGCAGCATTTCTCTACAGAAAAAAATGTATTTTTTTAAAAATTCCTAATAGTTCAAACCCAAGTATGTTGTTGAAAGTTGAATTAAGAATCGACATCACAGCACTCGGGACACCCCCATAAGCGCTCTGTCCCCATCCTCAGCAGTAAGGGAAGAGTTGAAATTCTGATGGTACCAGTGAAACCAAAGTATTTCTAGTGTCTGCCAGAAGTATGCAGTGGAAAGCTGTTTTAAAACAAGTGCTGCTGAAAGTTGCTGCTGAAAGTATCATGTTTCATGTGTGAAAGTCAAAGTATCTGGAGTTGCTGACACTAACACAACTGCAAGACCTGGGAGTGAAGACTGGTAAAGCACATATGTGCCATCGTCAAGTTCAAGTTAGGAGACACTAAAACCAACTCATGGGACCAATAAATGAAATTACCGTGAAGTGGATGCTGTATTGGAGAACTGAGCAAATGTGGGAATGTTCGATATGCACAGACGTCGATTTTGATAACAAAACCCATGTCTGCTGAAAATGTCATGTCTGACATCATGTTTGATGTGAAAACAGCCTTCATACACAAAGTCTGCTGAAAGTGTCATGTGTATGACAGACCATCGTACGCAGTAAAACTAGATTAATGCATTACATAAAAAATATATTTTATAAAAAATATTTATTAAATATGAAGGGTGTGTGTTATTTATATCTAATAATATATATATGTGTATGTTTGTATGTAAATGTTTGTATGTACAAGCATCAAGGTGGACAGAATAAACATTTCAAGGACAACCTCAAGACCTCACTGAAAGACTTCTGCGTTGATCCTTAAATTTGAGAAATCACTGCATATGACTGAACAACCTGGTGATCCTCTCTTCATCGAGGAGCTGTGGCCCATGAAGTTGCTAGAACTGCAGGAGCAATTCAGAAAAGACAAGCCAGGAAGCAAATCACTAGAGAAATGCAGCCCCAATTCCGTTTCCACACTGCTCAAGAACTTTCAGTGCTAGAACTGGGCTTATCAGTCATTGCACACTCACAAAACCTAACCCAGTCACCAGTGGATGAAAGGACTGGTTGGTCATCATCACTTGAATGAACAACATGTTTGTATAAATATATATATATTTGTATGAGTGTGGGGGAAAAAAGTGGGGGGGGGGGGGGGGGCTTTGAAAGGATTGGCCACAGGGTTTTTAACACAAATTATTGATATGGCCACAGGGTTTTTAGCACAAATTATTGATATGGCCACAGGGTTTTTAGCACAAATTATTGATATGGCCACAGGGTTTTTAGCACAAATTATTGATATGGCCACAGGGTTTTAAGCACAAATTATTGATATGGCCACAGGGTTTTTAGCACAAATTATTGATATGGCCACAGGGTTTTTAACACAAATTATTGATATTGCCACAGGGTTTTTAGCACAAATTATTGATATGGCCACAGGGTTTTTAGCACAAATTATTGATATGGCCACAGGGTTTTTAACACAAATTATTGATATGGCCACAGGGTTTTTAGCACAAATTATTGATATGGCCACAGGGTTTTTAGCACAAATTATTGATAAAGAGAGTCATGAAGCGAAACAAAACAAATTATATGAAGATGTTTGAGATGTGAAGGTGCACACTGAGTTGTAATGGGCTAGTTCATGAATGTACAATTGTATGTGGGTGAAATCTGTGAAGTTGTACTGTGTGCTTCCCCCTGTGGGTTCCAGACCTCCATTGTGGAGGTAGCAAATGAGCAGAGCCACTTACCACTAAAAAGAATTTTGTAAAAGTCAACTAATTGTTTGCTGAAATCAGATATGTTGGACTGAAAGGTGGAGTTGTTGCAGCCTGGTTGCAAACCACAGCACAGTATGACAATCACCCTCTTAAGGGTGAACATATAAGAAGAATAAATAACTGGTTAAATTCTAGACAGTCGTAATTTCAGCACTTTACTGTCCTTAAATCTGTGCACTTCGGAGCAACAGTCTTAGATTATGAAGGAGCTGGGGAAAAAATAACTGATAGCGCAAGCATAGCTAAAATAATATTGTGGGCAGAATGGGTTAAACTAGCAGGAGAATTGGGCAGAAGGTCGGAAATGTTTATTGTGTTTAGTTAGTTGTGTACCCTTTACAGGACGTTCCAGAACCAACCCCAGGATTTTTTGGGCTGTTGTGGTTTTTCTAGGCAGATTTTACGTTTAGTAGTTTGTCATTGCCGATCAGCTCTGAGTATCACTGTTGAAACCAATGCAAGACAAACCGTCCGCAGCTGGGATCGAACCCGGCACCCTGGCATTTTGAAGCGTGTTCACAACGCCTAAGCCACAGACACCAACTTGTGTAGAGTGACAAATAAAAACAGAGTTGCTCAGTAATGAAAGAGTTAAGAATTGACCTGGGCTTCAAGAATGTTTAATATTGTGCTATCATAATTGATCTGACTCTGCACTGCACATTTCCATGTCTGCTCAGTCCTCAAATACAGCAGCCATCCCAAGCTACCTCTACTGATTGTTTCCATAAAAATATATGTCTAATCTGGGTAATAGGAAATGTTATGTTATCACATTCAATGTCTTTGTACATCGGGCATCCCCATGCGTGCTCAGTCATTTAATGCAGCAGCCACTCCAAGCTACCTGTACTGATTGTTTCCATGAGGAGTTGGTTATAGTATCTCCTGTCATTGCCTCAAAGATGGCATAGGTGTGCTTCACCAATCTTAACTCCTTGGTCATGCAGTCATGTTAACAGAGACACGCTGTGATTCCCCAACCTAGTCCTTACAGCATCGATGATATCAGCTCTGTCCATGCTACTTCCCATTTGCATTGGTGCATTACTTGCCAGCTGGTCAGCTCTTACATTACCATTTACTCAAGCGTGCCCAGGTGTGTAGATCCAGATAATGGAGGTTAACTGCGACTTTCAAATGCTTTCTACCCAGTCAGAGCGTAGACTCCCTGTAACAGTTTTATGAAGGGTATTAGGAAATGTTATATGCAGCAAAATGGATTGGTTGAATATTGACCAATGAAGGGCCGGCTCTTGTTTAAGAATATAGGGCTAGCAACACGTAGGCTGGAGCTGTGGTAATGTTGTGGCTATATTCACATGCGGATATGATGATCCTACTTCAAATCTGTATTGAGTCAGATTTATTTTCAAACTTGACCTTGGCTCTCAGGTCACCTAGCCTAAAATGGATGCCATGTTTGTCATAGGAAGTAAGGGCAGCCGGCGTGATGTTGACTACATCTCCCACTGAGTGCCACTTGGCCTATTAAACTACGTCTAGCATCATATACCCGATTCACAACAGGGTCCTTACTTTACCACAAGTCTAAATACAGTACACCTTAAAGTATAAAGAAAGTGTCCTACTAATAAGCTAAAGGTAGATTTTTATATTGCTTTCTGTGATCCTAAAGATGCCGGTAAAATTAACACAAGCACAATCTATCTTAAATTCCTTTCTAGACAAACAAACAAATCAAGTCAACACAGCAACAGTAGCTGGAAACATTTTATGAACAGGGAAAATAAGATATTAGTATAAAACACAGATTATGATACTCATATATTAGTTATAAATACTCTGATAGGGAGCCAGAGAGAAAGAGGGAGTTAGGGAGTATTTGATCAGTTCTATACATCCTTGAAGAGAGTCATAATGAATAGAGTAACATCATATAAATTATATTGCAATTGTAAATAAATGTGTAACATAGGTTGGTAAGGTTAAGCATTTTTTTAGGGGAATGTTCAGTGAACTTGAGGCCTTAGGTTCATTTCACTAAAAGCAATATACAGTGAACTTTAGACTTTAAGGTTCATGTTCATAAAGGGAATGTACAGTAAACTTTAGACTTTAAGGTTCATGTTCATAAAGGGAATGTACAGTAAACTTTAGACTTTAAGGTTCACATTCATGAAGGGAATGTACAGTGAACTTTAGACTTTAAGGTTCACATTCATAAAGGGAATTTACAGTGAACTTTAGACTTTAAGGTTCACATTCATGATGGAAATGTACAGTGAACTTTAAGCTTCACATTCATAAAAGGAATGTACAGTGAACTTTAGACTTTAAGGTTGACATTCATGAAGGGAATGTACAGTGAACTTTAGACTTTAAGGTTCACATTCATAAAAGGAATGTACAGTGAACTTTAGGCTTTAAGGTTCATGTTCATGAAGGGAATGTACAGTGAACTATAGACTTTAAGGTTCACATTCCTGAAGGGAATGTACAGTGAACTTTAGACTTTAAGGTTCACATTCATGAAGGAAATGTACAGTGAATTTTAGACTAAGGTTCATATTCACGAAGGGAATGTACAGTGAACTCTACACTTTAAGATTCAGTTTCTTGAAAAGGTGCAATTTCTGTGAGAATTACTCGTCAGTATAATTACTGTTACAGTATCGGTTCTGCATTTATGGAAGTCTCCTTGGATGGTAGGGAGTTTCCATGCTCTGTCCTTGCCTTCTTTTGCAGGCCGACCAGTCACCTGACTGCCCTAGATGGGTCCCCTAAGGGAAAAACCTGTGGTTCAGGGGATGACATCACCACATAAGTGAGGCTGAGAAATGTCCCAGTCCCATGAAACTAACAAGAAAAGCTAACCCTGGGATTCAAATGCCCAAAGAAGTTGGTGGGTTGGCCAAAAAACCCAAATATTACAGCCATGCTGTAAATAGGCACAGCAAGATTACGTCACTTGGATGAACAATTAAGAAGAAGACCAGAATTAAAAGGGGGGGGGGGGGGACCCACTGACGTGACCCCCTACCAAACTTGCTGTAAAAGATGACCAATTAGGGGATTTTCCTTTGGAGGCAGAGTACCCCTGCCTAAGAAGCAAGGAACCAAGAGTGTGCATACAAATATGCAAAATCTGTAAAACTGCTGTGCATGCAAAACTCAGATTCTGGAACTCCCTGGGTGGGTTCCAGGACCCCATTTGGGAGAAAATAAGAAAAGGCTCACTGTCCCCTAACAAGCATGTCATAAATGGTGACTAATTAGGGTGCTTTCCATTAAGGTCAGAGTGCATCTGCTTGAGAGGCAAGGAACCAACATTCTGCATACAAATAAGCCAAATCGGTAAAAGGATGAGCACGCAGAATTTAAGTTCTGGAACAAGCAAAGTCCAGGAGTGGATGAACAACCAGAACTTTCCCCTGGAGTTTACAGCTGGTTAATGAGAAGAAGAAGAACAGTTTGCTGTACTGTTTCTATATTGTCTCTGTCGAGCTGAAGAACACTTCCGAGAGTAAAGTACTAGAAGAAACAATCAGATGATCTAAATCTCTGTAGGTTTTGGGGCACCATTTTAGGAGGAAAGTGAAAAGACCCCATTAGCCCTTAACAAGGATGTTGTACAAGGCAACTAATTAAGAGTGAGTTGAGCCAGCAGAGGCAGATATTGCAGCCTAGCTGTAAACACAACACATGAATCAACCACCCTCTTGAGGATGAACACAGAAGAATAAGATAACTTCAGCATCGGTTTTTATGACCAACTGAAAAGTGATATTCTCATAGTGAGGTGGAGGTTTATAGACAAACCTAATGATGAAACTCCCAAAGTGGGTGGAGATTTATAGACAAACCTTATGATATTCCCATAGCAGGTGAAAGTTTATTGACAAACCTAATGATGATATTTCTATAGTGGGTTAGGTTTATAAACAAACCTAATGATGATATTCTTATAGCGGCTGGAAGATTATGGACAAACCTAATGATGATATTCCCACAGTGGGTGGAGGCTTATGGACAATGATATTCCAATAGTGGGTGGAGTGCTTTGGACAAAGCTAATGATGATATTCCCATGGTGGGTGATTTTTCCTTGGGTGAAGGCTTAAAGACAAACCTGGTGGCTGCGGTTTGTACATTTGCTTCTTCTTCTTTTGATCACAGTCAGGATTTACACCAGCAGACACATTCTTGTGATAAAATTAACTATTATTAGGGTTCCCCTATAGCAGTGGTTCTCTCCTCCCTAGTGCCGTGACCCTTTCATACAATTCCTCATGTTGTGGCGACCCCCAAACATACAGTTAATTTTGTAACTACTTCATAACTTCAGTGAATAGATGCTTTCCAATGGTCTTAGGCAACCCGTGTGAAAGGGTCATTTGACCCCCCAAAAAAGGGTTGCGGCCTACAGGTTGAGAACCACTGCTCTGTAGTTTCACACAACTTTGAATATGTTGTCGACTTACTGGGCCAGTATGCCTGTACAAGAAACAGTCTTGCAGGACACATTCAGTGGTTAGTACACATAGTTAACACAAACACAATGATAAAATTAATCAAATGAAGCTTGTGCATATGTTTTGCAAGTTTGGTGCAGTCTGTCAAAAGCCAGACCTGAGATGTATTTGCCACTAATTGTTAACGTCTTCTTCAGTCATTTCTCTACCATTGGAGCATAGGCCCCTAACCAACTCATGCACGGCTGTCCTATTCGTTGTCATCTGCTGCAACTCCCTACATGTCTTCCCCATATTATTCATATGACTCTTACTCTATAGCTCAGGAGTTATGAACACGGCTTTAATTTTGAAATACCAGCTCAAGAGTGTAGCTTGTCTGCCTCTGATGTGGGTCATCAGTTTTGCAAGCCTTTATGGCACTGAGTATGGCTGATGTTTTTCAGTTTACAAGAAACTATATTAAACTGTTTATCTATCAGTCAGTCAGATAATAATTTTCAAACAAATGAACTAAAGAAACAAACTGTACAATCAAATATAAGTTGTGTTAGTATAGTCGGACAGCTCCTCACTGTCGAAACTGGAGCCTGACAACCAAGTGGTTCTCTTCTCTGGCGAGGAGCCGTAGCTGTCATCTGAGGAACTGTATGAGTAATGAGAAGCTTCACATGGGTAACTCTGAGGTCCATGTCGGTATGAAACTGATGTCTTTGGGGATGTGTTGCAACTAGACGCTTGTTCACTGCTGCTGCTGCTCCTGTTTGACCTGCTGTGTTGAGGACTACCATGCTGCCTTAAGGAAGGTGGATTCCTCAGGGGTTGGGGACTCTGTGGATGGGAATGAGTTAATGTTTGTGAGGTAGATTCATTATTGTTTCTAGAATTGCCTGGATCTTTTGATTGGTCTGTGTCATATTTTGACTTGAGCACTTTAACACTCCAAGGGAATTCCTTTTTGTTCACTTGAGATTTAGAGTCTGTGGTCTGGCTGTGTGGTACAGTTGCTTCTGGTGATAAGGCAGATGGACTTGCTGCAGATGTAATAGCAGAAGAAAGGTTAGCTGCAGATGGAGTGGCTGCAGACAGATTGGCTCCAGATGGTTTGACTGCAGACGGTTTGACTGCAGAGAGATTCACTGCAGAGAGATTAGCTGCAGATTTACCGACTGCAGATAGATTGGCTGCTGTAGGTTCAGCTGTGACAGATGGATTAGGCATGTGTTGCTTTCCAAGTCTAGCAGCAGGAGGTGATTGCACTGGATGATAGGGAACTGTGTCTGAATGTCGGTTTTTGATGGATTCAGCTTGGTGGAAGCACGATTTAGCTCTCATGAAGTTTTGTTGGTATTCAGATTTTACATCCCTAGGCTGTGTTTCATTACTAGAATGGATACTGGTACTGAGAGCGGACTGTTTGTTTTCTTTAACATCTGCTGAGCCATCCTGTCCAACTGTTGTGGAATGAGAGCTATAAGACCCCTGTTTGTTTGCATGCTTTGATAAATCACTGCAACTTCTTTGTAAGTTAACTCTGGGGGCATCTAGGCCCAGCCTTGCCTTAGATTCTGCTGGTCTTCCAGCAAAGGCAGCAGCCACAGGAGCTGTCTTTTGAGTGGATGGTACTGGGGAAATAGGTGAGGACTGTAGCTTTGGAGCATTTACAAATGGATGTGAAGTTAGAGATTTCCTAATCACCGGTAAAGCTGAAGAGGAGGCTGAGGGTTTTATTCCATGGGAGACTGACGATGCATCCTGTGAGGATGATACGCCTTTGGAGACCAGAGAAGAAACTCCATGGGGGCCCTTTTGTTCATATATTTGCTTAGACTGTAAATAAATTTCTTTTGGATCTTTCTTTATGTCATTAGTGTAATGACCAACTTCATCTTCACCTTCGTTTTCCAACATTTCAATGTTAATCCGTTCACTGCTGCTGTTTCTAGGACAAACTGGGCTGAATTCTTGGTCAAAGTTTCTGGCAGACTTGCGGTTAGACGATCGTGAACGAATCTCAGGGTTACTGTCACTGCTGGTCAGTGATGAGATAGTGACACTGCTGGTGTTGCTCAGATCTGAATTAGAGTTGAAGGAATCTGAGAGCTGGCTCAGCGTGGATACGGTGACGGTACTGCTACCAGAAGAGTCTGTGTCAGATAATCTGCTATCATTTCTAGAGATGGATAATAAGTTTCCTGGACTGATGCTTCTGTTGAATAAGCTGGCATCACTTTCTGCTCGATGTTTGTGCCCACCAATAATGTCCCTCTCCAGGCTGAGGGAGACTGAGCCAAAATCCAAGAACCCAGAAGCACCACTGTCATCAAGGTCATCAGACATGACAGCAGAATGAAAACTGTCCTGGGAGGTGTAAGCTGTTAAAGTACTGTCCAAATTACCCAGCCTACCACTTTGTGTCTCTTCTATTTCCGAACCAGGCTTGGATTCTTTAACATATGCAAGGTTTGAACTGACAGTTACATTTTCGACTGACTGGGTCTTAGATGCCTGGTTGTCAGAAAATTGAATTTCTTCTTTTTGATAGAGCTGCAAGGATTTCTCATACATTGCTTTAGCACGAGCACTTATCTCTCTCTGTTTTTCTGTGATATCATCAGGCTCGTTGTATTTCATCATAAAATTTCTTTGCACCTGTTCGTAATTCAAAGGCTTGTCAACATGTTGCTTAGAAAGTGGAAGGACATAATCTTTGTCTCTGATATACTTGGACAGTTTTGCCTTGGAAGTAGCACCTGCGGCCACACCTGATTCACCTTCAGGAGATATGATTACTGGTGTGGATCGGACATGCAGGTATTCCTCAGGTATGATTGACTGCATCTCCTTGGAGAAATGAAAGTGTCTTGGTTCTGCTAAGTCTACACTAGAACGTCTGTGTAGAGCACCTTCTCCAGCTCCATCTTTCAAAGCTGAAGTCTGCAGTGTCTGGAGAATAACATTTGGTGGGGGCGAGCCCAAATCTAAATATGCTGAAAATCGTTGTTTCCCTAACTGAATGCTGCTAAGTGAAAGAGCGTTTTTGGATAAAGGGTGTGATGAATTTGTGGAATTATCACTCATGAGGCTAAAGTGAGGTTTTCTGCTAATGTGAACCTCTTCAGCTACAACAGATTTTCTGAAACTCATGGGTGAATTTAATGTTTCTGAAGTATCCACATATGAGTTTTCAGATGTGGTCTCATTTCTAAAAGACTGGCCTGATGATTTAGTTTGAGTCAGAGATTGAGCGGTGCTGGTACCATGTAGCAGGATATCCCAGGGCTTGCCAGGGAGATTAATATCAGGTATCCAGCTGAGGGAGATGTCCGAGGACTCTTCTGGTGTCAATGGAGCGGAGTTAATGGAGCTGTCTCGTGAGCTGCTGTAGATGGAGCTGGAGATGACACTATCACCAGAACTGTGAGAATGCCGAGACTCGGGTGATACTGGCACTGAGTGGCCATTCGCAGAGGAATGCCTCATCGCTGGTGGTTCTGCAGCACCTTCTATTGGTTGCAATGAGAACTCAGCGGGTCGAGTGTCTGTATTAAGATATAAACGAGAACCACTTGCAGACTTGATGAGAGTGCCAATATTTGTTCTGGCACTCATTGTCTGGACGTTCACTGGCGAATCTGTGACTTCTTGTACTTTTTCTTTCAAATCTGAAACTCTATGGTCAATTGAAGAAAGATTTGGCACCATATTTCTCTGCTCCTTATGTGCAGCAGAACTGGGACTCTCATCCAGGTACGTTGTAGAAGCACTGTGTTTGAGAGGAGGCCGCATGGGATGAATATTCAACAAATCCTTGCCGTTCACCGTCAGAACTTACAATGCAGGCTTTTCTTCGCATGGATCGTTTCCTTGGAGGAGGAATGGGGCTGTCATACTTATCAGTTTGAGAACCGCTAGTCTGTCTGCACTTTCCAGGGTCACACCTGTCCAAGTCTGGTGGATCAAGGTTGGACAACTTTGCCTGGTAAATCTTGGCTGATGCACTTGCAATATCTGCTTGATAGGCCTCTTCATCGTAGAGCTGGTTATCGCTGAGGGTAAGACCAGAGTCTCTGCTCAAGTTGGAAGGAGAGAGGTGGGACTTGGTTGCTTTGGGGCTTTCATGTGAATAGTAGTCCCGGTCCCCAAGGCTGTCAATGGAGGAGTCATCATGATGTAGGCCCACTGAGGAGAAAGTAGTGGATATGTTAGTTAGCATTATAGACTTTGACCAAGGAGAAAGTAAATATATTATATAACATTATAGACTTTGACCAAGGAGAAAGTAATGGATTTGTTGGTTAGCATTATAGACTTTGACCAAGGAGAAAGTAGTGGATATGTTGGTTAGCATTATAGACTTTGACCAAGGAGAAAGTAGTGGATATGTTAGTTAGCATTATAGACTTTGACCAAGGAGAAAGTAGTGGATATATTATATAACATTATAGACTTTGACCAAGGAGAAAGTAGTGGATATGTTGGTTAGCATTATAGACTTTGACCAAGGAGAAAGTAGTGAATATGTTGGTTAGCATTATAGACTTTGACTAAGGAGAAAGTAGTGGATATGTTGGTTAGCATTATAGACTTTGACCAAGGAGAAATAAATGGATATGTTAGTTAACATAATAGACTTTGACCAAGGAGAAATAAATGGATATGTTAGTTAACATAATAGACTTTGACCAAGGAGAAATAAATGGATATGTTAGTTAACATAATAGACTTTGATCAAGGAAAAAGTAATGGATATGTTGGTTAACATTATAGACTTCATATAAGGTATTATTGTTTCCCATATCCCAAAATAGGTGACACCAGCACCCCCCCCCCCCTCCCCCGTACCTTTTTCTCCCCCTGTAGAAACATATATTACTATACACGCTGCATATTTGGAAGTTACAGAACCATGCTTTTTCATGGTGGTTGCGAACCACAAAGCCTTCTGTAACAAAATCTTGTGCCTTGAGTTAAACTCGTATGGTTACTTAATTTTTTCAAATATATACATAAAATGAAAGTTATGATCGATAAGTAAAATTTTAAAGAAAATAGGAATGAAGAAGTAAAAACAGTTTACATGATGTGGCAAACCAGCACTAACTGCTGTGGTACATTTCTGGTTTTAAAAGTCAGATTTACATTCTTTAGCTTGCCACTAAACAGTAGATGCTCATACTGTTGTCGAAATCAACACAATATAGTTTGCTGCCTAACTGCCTCCAGTTGAATTAAACTCAGGTGTTGAAATTATGAAACTTTGTTCATAAAATCTAGGCTACAGATCATGGAGGTATGAGTAAAGTAAAGTAAAGTGAAGTGAAGCAAAGTCAAAAAGCCTTTTTATACAGCTGGCGCATCAGGTACATGAAGCTAGCTTCATATTTGTTCAGGCCAGGTGATCAACTCATGCCAGCCACCTTTACTTCCCATGACATTACCTTGTACCCATTTAGGGCTAGAAGTGGCTAGATGCCTGCCTGCTGACTGGAAGGTTGTGGGTTCAGGGCCTGATGAAGCCTGACGTTTTTATTTTAAATTTTATCTCTGGGCCAATTTGGAAGACAGGCATGGCAGAATGTTTAGCTTCAGCGTTATTTTGATATTGACAGCGATTTGCTAATGCAGTTTCCATTTGTGGGTGTAAGTTTACAGTTTTACTGCCTAAGCTACTGAGTTAAATGCTTGGTGCGGCACTGTGGGCTATCCTTTTTAAATGTGAAATGCCTTTCATTTGTGCAGCGGTTGTGTTGTATTCAAAATGGCAGGTAGCCAGTTTACGTATGGCTGGCCAAGGCCAAATTATCAGTGCTAGGTACAGCACTGTTAAATCTGAGAAAGAAGCAATTAATATACAATTACTGGCTTCAGACAGCACACAGTCATGATCATTCAACACGTGACTCTTTTAACACCAGTACAAAAAAGTTCAAGGGGGTTCCAATAAGAAACGTTTATAGGCCAGCAGCATGGGATGCTGCAGTAGAAATGAATACTAATGAGGAACTAGCAAGAAAACTTGAATTAAGTAAGAGATATAAACCTCAGATACCACCATGTGAATTAAAACCACCATATGTAGACATAAGCCTGACAAAACAGATTTCACAAAACACTGATCCACTACAAGTAAGGACCATAGCAGAGAAGCAAATTAGAACACATTGAAACTAATAACCTAATAATGTACACGGATGGATCAAAAAATGAGAAAGGAGAAGTAGGAGCAAGTGTTTATATTCCTTATTGGAAAATACAAAAATCATAAAATCACAGATCATATGTCAGTTTTCACAGCCGAACTAGTTGGCATAATGAAAGCTTTTGGAATCACAGATTCTGAGAACATTTAACTTTCATTCCATTCCGGTAGTGGTTCTCAAACTTTCACTGGCATGTATTAAAACTGAAATAACATTAAAATATGTAACTTGCTTATATAATTTAGAGTTTAATATTTTGTTCAAGCTTTTAAAAGCTGCTAATACCTTGCCAAAGCAGGTCATAACTTCTTTCTTTGAGTTACCTTGACTATCAATATTACTACCTAAATAAGTAAATTGAGAGTGAAAAAATATTCTATGCAGTCTTTAATTGTCAATTGAGATGAGAAAGAGAATTCTGAAGTTCCTATCCTGAATATGGAAATGAATGTGGAGATGTAGTTTTTATAGACTAATGAAAAAAATACCCTGGACAAATAAAAAGAGTAATGAAGATAGATGTATCGAAAGAAACTGACTCCAAGGAGAATTCATAGTAAACATCAGAGACAATCTACATTCTTTGGTCATGTCATGAGAAGGAGAAGGCTGGAGTATATTGTGACAATAGTTAAGTTAGAGGGGAGGAGAGGCAGACGGAAAGAACAGATGCTGGACAGTATGACATCATAACCTAGAGGACCATCCGTATCAGAGCTGATTAAAAGTACACAGGATAGAGGGCTGTGAATAGATTTGACTACCAATGCAACATATTCTGGACTTTAAGAATAGGTAAATTGGTATGTATGGGTATGCAATAAAAGTGCACCTGTAGAACCCAACCAACAGCAATGAAGAAAACTACTTACTGCCACCATCTTGCATACTGAGCACACTGTGCATACTGTCAGAGTCTGTCCCAGAGTTCGAATCCCGCATCAACGCTGGCTTCCCTGGGTGTACTTGAACTCTGTGATGCTGATCTGTAAGCTCTGCACTGAAATTATCATCATCTTCATCCCCGCTCATTTCTTCCTCCTCCTCTTCCTCATCCGCTGATGGTTGTATCTGCCCATCATACCTATCATCTAAAGTCCCAGGTGGTGATGCTTGGCAGCCATATCTCACAAACATGCTGAGAATATCTTCTCCGAAGAGCTCAATATGGTTTGTGATGATGAAAGATATCAGTGGAACTATCACTTCTTGGATCTCAGAAACAGACTCTTGCATTTGCTTCTGCACATCTCCCCCTTTCCACTTTCCGTGTGATGATCTATTTGTTCTTTGTACAAACAAGGATGGAGCAATGCATGTTGCCAGGTTTGATGGTCCCATGTGGTTTACAGAGCAGTGTTTGGCCAGATGTTGCAGTAAACAGATGGTTAACTTCAACATATGGAAGTTTTCTGCAGGAAGTTTGGCCAAAAGCCTGCATGGAAGGGGGAAAAAACAGTCAGTACGAGAATGGAAACAATGCTAGAGAACTGTAAGAAAAGATTAAACCATACATCAAACGAACAAAAAAATTGTAAATAAGGTAATAATGTCACTAAAGTAAAACAACAATAATCTGGATCCCTTTAAATATGACAATCTGATAATCATAATTATTTGAGCAGTGTAGTTATAAAATATACTCAACTTTTATTCAGAATACTTATTATCTATACCTGGTAATCTGTTATAAACTTATTTTACGCTAGAAGGATTTGTCATTTCCACATGAGGCCTCCTACTTTGCCACCTTTATTTGAAGAAGTTAGACATCCAATCCACATTTCAGGATGAGGAAGTAAGAAGACTTTCAGAGCCACATGACTGGAGTTTCCCATGTTTTTCACTTTGCATACAAGGGCTAATAGATAGGTAGATATGGGATAAGCTGCCTGTGAAAGCAAAGATATTTTGACATGGCATGGGCTGGTTGAGGACCTAGGACACAAACTGAGAGACGTATTCAATAATAGTGTAATTTATTTATACTGGCACCCACAGAGCTAAAAGAATAAAGGCAGACTAAAAACACAGAGAAGAGAATTAGAGAGTGACGTGAAAAAGATGGGTAGGAAATGGGATAATCTGCATGTAATAGCAAAGACTAATTTGACATGACATAAACTGGTTGAGAGCCTGTGCTCCACTAGAGATAAAAGGAAAAGGAAGAAGAAGACGAAAAATATTTGTATAGTTAAACAAGGGCTTATGTACATGCTCTGTCTGAGTACCTCACTGCTGTGCCCAAATGGGCTATGCATACAGTCTTCAGAATATATCATATCATGCAAGATTGTCCCTTGTGCAGCCCATTAAGAACGGAAAACTAGCCCAGTCAAACCATACTCAAAGCTGTTTGGAACAATGACAGAAGATTCCCCCTCCCACCTAAAAGGGTCCGTTTTATCATAAAAATATATTTGCTGGTCAAGCATCAAGGATGCAGTCACAAAAAGAAGACTAGATGTACATCACTGTCATGCAGCAGGTTCTTAGCAGAACATTGCTGAGATCAGAACCTGCCTGAAAGAAACTGGGTCTCTCACGAGCTCCCCTGCCTAAGGTGTCAATAATATCCTGTGCCCATCTTTATGCTGGTCGGCCCCTGCCACTCCTTCCTGGTATCAGGTCTTCTGCTATTAAATTATTCTTTCCAGTCCACAGTGGTGGTTGATATAGCCAAAATATTTCAGTTTCTGAGGCAAGTTGCTGTTTACTAGCCAATCTTCCTTCATGTTCAGATCATTTAGGATGTCAGTATTTCTTTTTTTTTTCTTGGTCCATGGTATTCTCCTAATCTTTCTATAGTATTTGAGCACCAAATCCCTTAATTTCTTATTTGATGACTGTGGGATAGCCAGGACACACATTTGTAAGTTGCTCCAGGAAAAATGCCTGATGTCAAAATAGTTTTAACTTTGATTTCTAGTTACACATACAAAATGAACATATATAGTTTACTGTAACTACATACGTTTTTATTTTATTGATCTTTTCCTCATATGGGTCATCCTTGTTGACACAGAGCCACTGCTGATGTAAGCTGCACACCAACACACCTTCAGGGATGCTGCGAAGGAATTCCTGCAATAGAAATTGTTCACAATGATAGCAGCTTTGGAATCAGAAAGGTTGAGTAAATTAGGGCTTACTTTGGTAAAGAAATATTTTAAAATCTATAAAACTGAGATTACCACAGGTTTGGTAGGGAAATGTATTGTTAAATCTTAAAGAATATGTAGCATAGGACCAACACTCCCAGCTTTGTAAAACCTAATTTCTGTTACAAGCATCAAAATGGGCTGTAAAGCTGATTTACTGTTACCAGTTATGACTCAGAATTTACCCAAAATCTTTTGCCATATGAACGCTTTTAGAAGAAGAAAAAAAAAAAAAGGTCATGAACCTATAGGAATTTCCCCAAAAATCCAAAGAAAAAAAAAACCAATAATATTGCACAGATTATTAATAAATTTAAACCAAAAAAAAAAAAAAAAAAACATTATTTTTCCATTCTTTTTCCTTTTCTTTAAATAAAAAAAGACATTTAAAGGGGTAATTAATAAACATGAACAGCTTGAAGCATTAAATGGAATACTTTTCCTGGGCAATAAAAAACCCAAAATGTTTTGGTTGACTCATCCTATGACCCCGTGACCTCTATCACTGAGACTTATGGGACAATTTTATGTCAACTTGACTTTAAAAAAAAGGTATGGAGTTACAATGAAACCCATCTAAATGCTATATTTAATTAGTACATTCATATCCTGGCCTATTGAACACTGAATAAGCACACATAGGACCAATGGAATTTAACCGTGCTTTTCAAGAACAGGTCACTGAATAAATGGTAAGATATCGGCTTTTGCAGGACTGTGTCACAACAGGAAGTGACCAGATTGAGTTTCTTGGCCTGAAAAATACAAGCTTTTATAAAAAAGCTTTTTTTTTTTTGCACAAGCACTCAGCCAGTTGGGAAACAAGTAATAATATCAAGTTGGTCACTAAAGCTAATGGATTTACCATGAAGAAGACCAGCCATTGATGTGCATTTTTGCAATGATCATAATATTAATTTAAATTGAATATGAAAACCAACTTTATTAAAATGCCACACAAAAGTTAATTTAAGAGTAATAAGTAAAAAGTAAAGAATCCTTTTTAATTATGATGATGAATCTACATGTAGTTTTTTGACCAATCAGCACTCTTTCAGCAATTTCAACAACATCATAATGGCCGCCATTAATTCCCAGGACATTACCTCGTACCCATTTTGAAACTTGGGTGGAAATTGGAAGCCAAGGTCAATTTTGAAACAACAACAACAACAAAAAATGCCTTGATGAGGATTTGAATCCAAGACTTTTGAGCGATCAGGCAAGCATCTAGCCACTTAAAAGTGTGAATCCCATTGAGGGTGATGATAACAAATATTCCCCCCAGACCAGATTCCTGATGGAGAGCAAGGGAATTCAATATCTGTTCCATACTTGACACCTGAAGATGACAGGAGAGTCATGACCCCTTAATGTCTACGGCAGACTAGCAATGGGATGGAGACTCCAATGTCACGAATCCCAGTATATGTTCTGGAACAGGTTCCTGATGAAGACTGGAATGTCATGATCCCCAATATATGTTCTGCACTGATTCATGAAGAAGACTGGACAGTCATCTTTCCTGATGTATGCTCTAGACAGGTTCTTGGAAAGAATGGAAAGCCATGATCTTTACAACTTCGCAAGACTAACCACTTGAGTATGGAAATAAGCCAAGCTTGTAATATGTTTGCTGCAACACAAGAACCAACCTTAAACACAGATGCTGCTGTTGGGGTCATGTGATCCTCCAGGTGATACTTATCCCCAGCATTGATTTTCTCTTTAATCTCCTTGCCCAGGAGAGCGTTGTTTCCACGTCTGAGGATCCCCGATGTTTGAGGTCCATGCTGGTACACCTGCACCATCAGTTTCTAAATCAGAAGAAATTGTAACCATATTAGTTTTTTTCTGTCACCTTGAGGTTTCTTCAGGTGAAGAGAGGTTGGAGGTGGGGACAGTTGGAGAGGGGGGGGAGGGTGTAAGGAGCAACAGTTAATACAGAGAAAGAAAGAAATGTAAGGCATAAAGACACACACACGCACGGGCACACACTCACACACACACACATACACACACACACAGCACAAAGATAGTAAAGAAAGACAGTAGGATAAAGAGACATACTGCCAGAAAGAGCGAGAGAGAGGGGTGGGGGAGAAACCACACTACGGAGAAATACATGCACACACAAATAATGAGAAAGAATAAGGTAGAAGAGACAGAGAAAGGAACAGACAGTCAGAAAAATAAACAAAAAGAAAACGGATATGAAACACACACATACGGAGATGCAGGTACTGAATCATAGAAAGAAAGGGCAGCCAAAGAGATATACAGTAAGAGATAGACAAAGAGAAAGGAACACAAGTAGTTAGAGAAGCAAAATGAAAGACAATTTGCAAGCGATAAAAAAAAAACAGAGTAAGAGATAGAGGAAGAAAGAGAGAAGAAGGACAAGAGACAGAAGAATCCAGAGAGAGAGAGAGAGAGAGAGAGAGAGAGAGAGAGAGAGAGAGAGAGAGAATCTAAACAAACAGTATGTCTTATAGCTAAAACACTTACAATTATTCCTTCTGGTGGGTCCAGATTTTTATCGCAGATTTTTGCCAAGGGAATGCCAAAAACTCGTTTCTTGCGAAAGATTGTATTGAAAATGTTTTGAGTTTTCTTGTGTTTCTTCATTGGTTTGTGGTGCGGCGAATCTTCTGAAGACAACACAACAGAAGACATTTGTAGAAACGTGTTAAATGTATACACATGAATATAATGAATATACACTTAAATAAAGAAAATGACTACATTTGACTTATGGGAAGAAGAGGGCAAAGAATTCCCAGACTGAAAGGGGTAACAAATGGATTCTTAAAATGCAGTGTTCAAGAGAGACATTGCAAAGAACGTTGATGAGCGAGGTCATGAGTATTTGACTGGATTCCATTCGTGATACTGAAAACATTGCAAAGGTTAGAACGGAACTGACGAATTTTGAGCCCTGTCTCAGATAGAAATGGTCCAAGAGGATGATGGTAATCATGACGATGATTAAATATTTTAATATGAATGAGGCACTCTTCCGAGATACAGATGAAGTAAATGGACCACATAAATTATGGACGGTAAAGACTTTTGGGGAACATTTTATAAAAAAGTAGCAGTCTAGAAAACAGTGACAACAAGCAAACTAGAACGTCTTTCGACTAGAAACCACACGTTGCTCTCTCCCACACCCCCCCCCCCCAACAGTCTTTCTCTCTCACTCGATATATAAAATTATTATATATATATATATATATATATATATATATATATATATATATATATATATTTACATAAATCAGCGGTGAGGCGTGTGCATGTAACTGCTGTTATTGCTGCTTATACTTTTAATTGACAAAGAGAAAATGCATTATTTTACTATTTGTTAATAATATTTACTATTTATTACGAGTGTGATACTCGGGTTATGTCTCTAACATGTATCTCGAAACGAACTCTCGTTGCATGCTTACGCCACTTATGCAAAACTAACGTGTGGAAGCTACCAGTTATTAGTAATGTACCACGATGCAACAGCGAAGCCACGGGGGAGAGGAGGGGAATTATGTGATACCCTCTCCAGTGTAATCATTACATGCTAACACTTACTGCGAATTAATAACTTCTCGGCACTGCTCTCTCTCTCTCTCTCCCTCTATACACATTCAGACGCACGCGTGCGCACACACACACACACTCACACGGTGGGTCTATTTCTATACCCCACCCCGGACCTCTCGAACCCACGTGAGGAAAACGGAGATACTCGTAGATACGGCCTACTTACCGAACTGGCCGTTCCTTGGCGACTGTTTCTGTTTGAGGTAGAACTCACACTTGCTGCCAGACACTGAGATGTTCTCTACAATCGTGTCCAGGTCCAAGGCCGTCATATTGTCAAGGTCATTGGCCGACCGTGACCTGGACAGTTCGCGGGCTTGGTTGTATTTGATTGAATATGGCGTCTCATGACCTGGAAGAGACCCAGACACAAATTGTATTTAAGTTTCAAATGAGGACTTGTATCCATGTACTGAGGTTTACTGGGCACGCGATTCTAGCTCCATAGTTTTACTGATCCATCAAAACTTATTGCAAGGTCCAATGTCAAACAGAGGTGTTAACACAACAGAAAAATTGAAACAACAGAAATGAAATGTCTAGATGAATTCTAAATATAACTGGAAGAATGAGAGGAAAAGCTGGGAAGGAACAAGCACCAAACAACATCAAAAGGCAACATTCAAATGGTTTGTACATGTATTAAGACTACCATCAGACAGTGCACCACAGACAGGCCTGTCACTTAGACACAATAGAAGCAGACCTAGAGGTCAACCACGCAAACGATGGACGAATGAGTAATGTTCTAGGCAGGCAAAAGGCCGATCCATATGGATTCTTCTTCTGCTTCTTCTTCTTCCTTTTCTTCTTCTTCTTCCTTTTCTTCTTCTTCTTCCTTTTCTTCTTCTTCTTCCTTTTCTTCTTCTTCTTCCTTTTCTTCTTCTTCTTCCTTTTCTTCTTCTTCTTCCTTTTCTTCTTCTTCTTCTTCTTCTTCTTCTTCTTTTCCTTTTCTTCTTTCTTCTTCCTTTTCTTCTTCTTCTTCCTTTTCTTCTTCTTCTCTTCTTCTTCTTCTTCTTCTTCTTCTTCTTCGGAGGAGAGATTCTTCTTCTCTTTTCTTCTTCTTCTTCTTCTTCTTTTCTTCTTCTTCTTCTACTTCCTTTTCTTCCTCCTCCTCCTCCTCTTCTTCTTCTTCTTCTTCTTTCTTCTTTCTTCTTCTTCTTCTTCTTCTTTCTTCTTCTTTTCTTCTTCTTCTTCTTCTTCTTCTTCTTTCTTTTTTTCTTCTTTTTTTCTTCTTTTTTCTTCTTCTTTCTTCTTCTTTCTTCTCTTCTTCTTCTTCTTCTTCTTCTTCTTCTTCTTCTTCTTCTTCTTCTTTCTTCTTCTTCTTTCTTCTTCTTCTTCTTCTTCTTTCTCTTTTTCTTCTTTTTCTCTTTTTCTTCTTCTTCTTCTTCTTCTTCTTCTTCTTCTTCTTCTTCTTCTTCTTCTTCTTCTTCTTCTTCTTCTTCTTCTACCTTTTCTTCTTCTTCTACCTTTTCTTCTTCTTCTTCCTTTTCTTCTTCTTCTTCCTTTTCTTCTTCTTCTTCCTTTTCTTCTTCTTCTTCGTTTTCTTCTTCTTCTTCGTTTTCTTCTTCTTCTACCTTTTCTTCTTCTTCTTCCTTTTCTTCTTCTTCTTCCTTTTCTTCTTCTTATTCCTTTTCTTCTTCTTCCTTTTCTTCTTCTTCCTTTTCTTCTTCTTCTTCTTCTTCTTCTTCCTTTTCTTCCTTTTCTTCCTTTTCTTCCTTTTCTTCCTTTTCTTCCTTTTCTTCCTTTTCTTCCTCTTCTTCCTCTTCTTCTTCTTCTTCTTCTTCTTCTTCTTCTTCTTTTCTTCTTCTGCTTCTGCTTCTGCTTCTTCTTCTTCTTCTTCTTCTTCTTCTTCTTCTTCTTCTTCTGGCGATTGGGACGATTGCCGTGGTTTGCCATGAGCAAGGCTGTAGTGTTGTTGCTTCCTATAGAATAAAATATAGGTGACGTTGCCTTGTAAAAAATCAATTTCCACAAAAGAAAGCAAGCGATAGGAAACAACAACTCACCGTTAAACAAAGCAACAAGCTGTTTCTGGGACAGAAAAAGAGAGGGGAAAAAAAGGGGGGTGGGATGGGGGTGGAAGAGAAATTGCACCGCCATCCCAGATGGCGAGCTGGTTTCAGGGACGCAGCATCATCAGCTGAAGCAAGAGTGTGCTAGATCAGGGAAAGTATCCTGTGTAACGTGTCCTGCTAGAGAGTTATCCTTACTGGCAACGAAGCCAAATTACACGATATGAAGAACATTGGTTCCTCCTTAGATATCCGCGAAGGACGTGTACGAAATGAACCCAGTTTGACACCAGGAAGAGCAATATCACACGACTTCTAACAAAAAACGCCCAATTAGACAATAAGATGCACTAGTCTAAAGAAGAATTACGATACAAAGCTCACAATTATAAGCGAACGATCTTACTATTAAAAGTTAGTTGCGTATCCTTTACAGGACGTTGCAGAACCAACACCAGCAGCCCCTGGCTGTTGTGTAGTTTCTCTAGGCAAATTTACGTCCAGTAATTTGCCATTGCTTTCTGGACGGTCGAAAACCAACACAAGGCGCATGACCCGCAGCTGGGATCGAACCCGACACCCCAACAATACGAAGCGTTCGCATCGACTCAGCCACAGAGCTGACTGATCTTACTATTACGGCGGGCTAACAGCAGGTTGAACGTTTGTTTGTTTGATTGTTTGTTGTAAAAGTACGGGACAGGACTAGTTGCTTAAACGCGACTGAAACTCGTCTCTTTCTACCCACTCCCCCCCCCCTCCCCCATTATCAAACAGTCAATCACAAGCCTAAGTCTTTTGATCATTTGTTCATATCCTCATGCAGTCTAGAACTGACACCAGGTTGTGTTCTGGGAAGTAAAGGTGGCCTGCGTGGTGCTGGCCAAATCACCCAGCGAGTGCCTATTGGACTTCAACAATATAGGTTCAGCAATGCAAGCTTGATGCTCCAAAAGCGCGATCGATCCATTGACAGGGTGTTCTCCTCCTGGATACTCTCAAGGTTTACCACATCATCCTAACATTGTAAAAAAGCTCAGCCTGGATGGCAGACTAACGAGGCAGATCCTAGATATCTCCTTCAACCTCCCAAGAATTATAATTAATTCACCCGCCACGGATACTCCAACCCAGTGAAACCTGCGATCCTGTATGGGATAAAGGGAGGTTACAGGTCGGAGGATCGACTTCATTAGACCGGATTTTTAAAAACAAAATCCGTTATGACTGGGCCTCTCTCTGTATAACGACTAGCCGCCTACCGATAACGTCGAACATGGCACGAACTACATACTTCCGGCGATTTCCCCAGGGATCTCAATAATAATTGCAATCGTGAGCTGAAAGACGCAGCCAGGAAACGAACCCACGCCCTTGACAGCGCGAGACAAACGGCTTGACAACTTTACCACTGAGACCCCCTCCTATGCAGGTAAGGAGATCAAGCGTGACAAGGGTCTTTTAATGTATACGTATAATAAGGAGGGATGTATAGAACGAACGGTGGACGTCTCAAACAATTACTGTAGCTCTGGGACAGTCAAAATCTAAACATTAAAGGTAAGAAAAGTAATTTATAAAGTAAAGTAAAGTAAGGGACCCGCTTCAACGCCCCTAGGCGTAATAAGTATTCATGGTATTAGAGCATATACTGGTAGAAATAAATCATATGCACCAATCGACATAACCTGATACCAAATCAAGGCTGGGTCGAGTTGAAAGGCGAGGTCAATTTTTGGGAGAAAAAAAAATCCAACTTAATGCGGTTTGAAACCTCGACCTTGAGACATGCAGGCGAGTGTCTACCCGTAACGCCATGGCGCCTGTGACGGTGTCTACCCGCAACACCATGGCGCCTGTGACGGTGTCTACCCGTAACGCCATGACGCCTGTGACGGTGTCTACCCGCAACACCATAGCGCCTGTGACGGTGTCTACCCGCAACACCATAGCGCCTGTGACGGTGTCTACCCGCAACACCATGGCGCCTGTGACGGTGTCTACCCGCAACACCATGGCGCCTGTGGACGGTGTCTACCCGCAACACCAATGGCGCCTGTGACGGTGTCTACTCGACCCGCAACACCATGGCGCCTGTGACGGTGTCTACCCGTAACGCCATGGCGCCTGTGACGGTGTCTACCCGCAACACCATAGCGCCTGTGACGGTGTCTACCCGCAACACCATGGCGCCTGTGACGGTGTCTACCCGTAACACCCTGGCGCCTGTGACGGTGTCTACCCGCAACACCCTGGCGCCTGTGACGGTGTCTACCTGTAACACCATGGCGCCTGTGACGGTGTGGCCTAAGGGAGACTTTGTCACCGGTCAGAAACGTTGGTTGCAGTCGTCACATATGCACTAAGGTTGGTTGAGTATCCTTTACAGGACGTTGCAGAATCAAACCCAACAGTCCCTGGCTGTTGTGTGGTTTCTCTAGACAAATTTAGTCCAGTAGTATGCCAACATCAGCAATGATGAGTTGAGTATCCTTTACAGGACGTTGCAGAACCAACCCCAACAGTCCCTGGCTGTTGTGTGGTGTCTCTAGGCAAATTTACGTCCAGTAGTGTGCCAACATCAGCACTGGTTAGTTGCGTATCCTTTACAGGACATTGCAGAACCAACTCCAACAGCCCCTGACTGTTGATATCAGCACCAGAAGTCTTTTCTTTTCAGGGCTGCTTGGTGGCTAGCAGTTTGAAGTCATGTATGTGGCGCAAATAAACAAAGACCACAATATAACCTAAAAGCTTTCCTTGGAGGAAATCGGACTGAACGTGGTCCAGCCTCCCCCACCCTCAGTCAATTAGCGAATAAGGCGTCTCCCTCTACACATTGAGGGTGAATCATAATAAAATCAAATCAACACTTTAATGAAGTCATTAAAACAGACCTAGTGTTAATTGAAGCTGCCAGCACATATCCCAGCTAAAACAAAGCTAACAAAACGCATCTGTGTTAAAAGTGTCAGTCCCATTGACTGATAAAGAACTATGCTGTCATCATTGAAACACTGATAAACTATAGGTTCCTTTTAACACCAGGCACTTTATCATTACAAATGATCTGGCTACAGTAAACATTTAGGATAGTTTCATATCGAACTCGGTCACAGACGATAACAGAGATGCATAAAGATTGGTGGCTATGGGCACCTTTCCGACTGTCCGGATAGTTAGTAGACAGATTATCCTCATTGCATATCGAACCATTCAGTCCACACACAAGTGCTTGGATCCCTCCATAGTAAATCTCACAGCGTGTAACGGCTCACGATACCAGTCCTGTGTTGGTTGCTTAATCTTTTTTGGCTTCCTGCAGAATGCTCTTCTC